GAGGAGGAGGAATAATTTTATTACGGTCACAGACCAGCATTACAAACAAGAAGCATTAAAAAAATAAAATTAAATAAAATTAAAAAGACAGCATAATATTTAACAATTGGTGATGGAGTGGGCTGGGCAGTCAAAGTCTGTTTAATTTTGCAGATCATATAACAAAATTTGGCTACATTCAAAGAGATCACACCAGACAAACTAGTGAGGTTAAAATGTATATATGTAATTCATTGTAACTGACATGGAAATATTTGTTAAATTTGAATTTCAATTTTGGCAGAGTCTTTCACAAAACGTATAAAGTTAAACCTATAGTCTACCTATTTGGATGAAAATCAGAGTACTCTAATGCATGCATTTTTTGCTATTCCCACTATTCACACATTAATTAATATCAGTGGAATTTATTTCCAGATAAGACTATGTATAACTTTAAAATTTTTGTCCTAGATAGCTACTAGGATTATTATTTTCACCTGTATAATTGAACGGAACAACCATTTAATAATAAATGCAAAAGTATATATAAAGCCTATTCCATGCATATTTGTTATAGATGGAAGCCTACACAAGCTTTTTTCAAGTTTCCATCTTCCAATCAGCCTTTTTTACATCCTTAATCTGCCTCCAGTGAGGCAATATTCCAGAACATCATGAGATGATGCTGGAAGAGAGGCAAATGGTTCAAAATTATACACAGCCATGTGTGCCAAGATTTACCTTGATCTGGCTAGATAGTTTCTTTTCTCCTAACATTTCTGTCAACTGATGTAACTGCCAGGAAACCGGAAATGAACTGATACCTTGGAATCAGATGCTAGTCTCTGTCATGATTTTTCAGAGTGCTTTTGAAAAAAAAAAAGGTGCCGCATCCTGCACATTAGTACAATTTTAAATATGAATATTAATCTATGTTACAAAAACTAATAATTAGAACAGAACCAAAAGGTTTGCATTTTAATTGTATATTCTCCTAGGAAGTGGGGTTTTTTTGTGTGATTTATGAATGTATCATTATCATACAATCTAATTTACCACAAGCTCTTATCAGGTCATGCAAGGATGCATAGCAGCGAACATCTAAATACCAGTTTAGACTTATCTAATGTATAGAAAACAATGAAATACTATTGTACTATACAGCATAATTAATCTAAATATGGTATGGTTAATTTTATATTTTATTTATTTATCAAATTATTTGCAGCCCATCTAACAGTTCAGACAACTCTTAAGAGGCTTGCATCAAGATAAAATAAACCTTCAATGATTATAAATATAAAAATGGATTTAAAATTACAAAAATTAAAGCAAACTAAAAAAAACCAGAGTTTGGTGGAAAAGGGGTGCCTTTTTTGTTGGTGTATCAACCACCTCCAGCCAACAGCTTCTCCTTCAGGAGCCCATGCCAGCTGGCAGAGCCAGGTTTTAAGGCCTTTCCTGAAGGCTACAAGAAAGGCAGCAGATCTTACCCTGTTCAAAGAGCAGGAGCATGATCCAAGAGAAAAGGATCTTCTCTTGGATCCCACCAACTGAAATTTCTTGGCTGATGGAATCCGCAATAGGCCTCTCTTACCAACATATGTGGAGTAGACCAATCCTATTGGAAAAGATGATTCTGCTGACATCCAATGCCATAAAGAGCTTTAAAGATAATAACCAGCACCTTGAATTGCACCTAGAAGCAGATAAGCAGTCAGTGCAACTTGTATAATAGTAGTGTTACATGTGCTGTCCTAAAGGCCTCCAAAACGAGAGGTGGATTATTACAAACACATTCATGACTGAGGCAGGGCCCCACAATCCAGAAAAAGGTTCAATTGCCACATCATACAAAGTTGTGCTTTCTTAGCCACAAATGAGGATGTGGACAGGGTTCTGGGTAGGATTAGTGCCACCACATGTTTATTGGACCCGTGTCCCTCCTGGTTGGTACTGGCCTCCCGGTAAGTTACACGAGGCTGGCTCCAGGGGATTATAACTGCTTCTCTGAGTGAGGGTGCCTTTCCCGCCGCCTTGAAAGAGGCGGTGATGAGGCCCCTCCTCAAGAAGCCTTCCCTGGACCCGGCTGAATTAGTTAACTATCGTCCGGTCTCCAACCTTCGTTTTGTGGCGAAGGTTGTTGAGAGTGTGGTGGCACGACAACTGCCCAGGCACCTGGATGAAGCTATCTATCTAGACCCGTACCAGTCGGGCTTCAGGCAGGGGCACAGCACAGAAACGGCATTGGTCGCGTTGGTGGATGATCTCTGGAGGACCCGGGACAGGGGTTGCTCCTCTGTCCTAGTTCTATTAGATCTCTCAGCGGCTTTTGATACCATCGATCATGGTATCATGCTGCAGCGGTTGAAGGGGTTGGGAGTAGGGGGCACCGTTTTGCAGTGGTTCTCTTCCTTCCTCTCCGGCCGCTCGCAGTTCGTGTTGGCAGGGGGGCAGAGGTCGACCTCGAGGCATCTCGCATGGGGAGTGCCACAAGGGTCGGTCCTCTCGCCTCTTCTGTTCAACATTTATGTGAAGCCGCTGGGTGAGATCATCCGTGGTTTTGGGGTGAAGTGTCACCTGTACGCTGACGATACTCAGCTGTACATCTCCACCCCAGACCACCCCAACGATGCCCTTGATGTGATGTCTCACTGCCTGGAGGCCGTGCGGGTCTGGATGGGGAGGAACAGGCTCAGACTCAACCCTTCCAAGACCGAGTGGCTGTGGCTACCGGCGTCCCGATATAGTCAGCAGGTGCCATCGCTGACTATTGGGGGTGAATCTTTGCCCCCCACAGAGAGGGCTCGCAATCTGGGTGTCCTCCTGGACGCACGGCTGTCTTTAGAAGAGCATATGACGGCCGTGGCCAGGGGGGCCTTTTATCAGGTTCGCCTGATCCGCCAGTTGCAGCCCTTTCTGGACCGGGACGCCTTGCGCACAGTCACTCATGCTCTTGTCACCTCCCGGCTGGACTATTGTAATGCTCTCTACATGGGGCTCCCCTTGAAGAGCACTCGGAGGCTCCAGCTGGTCCAGAATGCGGCCGCGCGGATGGTTATGGGCGCACCTCGTTGTGCCCGCGTGACACTCCTCCTGCGCGAGCTGCACTGGCTCCCAGTGGTCTTCCGGGTGCGATTCAAGGTGTTGGTTACCACCTTTAAAGCGCTCCATGGCACAGGACCTGGGCACCTTCGAGACCGTCTTCTGCCACCAATAGCCTCCCACCGACCAGTCCGTTCCCACAGAGAGGGTCTCCTCAGGGTGCCATCAGCCAAGTTATGTTGGCTGGCGACACCCAGGGGGAGGGCCTTCTCTGTGGGAGCCCCAACCCTGTGGAATGAACTGCCCCCGGAAATACGTAAGATCTCCGACCTCCGGGTGTTCCGCTGCGCACTGAAGACCCTGTTGTTCCGCCAGGCAGGGCTGTCAATATAATAATTTTAAATTGGGGTATTTTAATTTTTGGGGTTTTAAATCGGCCAAATCTATTTAATTATTTTAATTTTTAATTATTGTTGTGTCTTGTGTTTTTAAATTGGCTGTACACCGCCCTGAGTCCTTCGGGAGAAGGGCGGTATAGAAATAAAATTATTATTATTATTATTATTATTATTATTATTATTATTATTATTATTATTATTATATGCCACCTCCTCTTTGAGCAGGAGTTATGAGTCTAGGAAAATCCTGAAGTTGTGCCCTGGGTTTGTCTGGGGCGCTGCCATCCCATCCTGAAAAGATGATAAGCTTCCAATTCCCAAGCCTCAGTATATTTTATCAGGGTTCAGTTTATATATCTCGTTGCGTTATCTCTGCTTTGTTATTACATTTATCTAAATAAAAATATTAGAAAAATAAACTTCAGATCAAATGTTGAAGTGCTGTGTGCTTTTAAATGGTAAGAGCATGATTTCCTTGAAAATTGCTGAGAAGTCTCTTGCAAGAGATCTGTGAAAAGATTTTGTTACAGAATTGATGTTTTGATTACACATTGGAATATCTAAACATTGTTTCAACTTGAATTAATTTAATGCAGCCAATTTGTACATTCTAGTGATAATTGTCAAGAGGAAAATAATCAAGTAAAAGCATGTTGCTAAGCCTGAAGTTAAGATGATTATTTTGGATATTAAAATGAGTATATAAATGGCTGGATGTCTGCTAGCGATAATTTTAAAAAACAAAGGTTATGGATTAAAAGTGTATGCATGATTCTTTTTCACTTCCAGAGTGTAGTAGTTCTATACATTCTTTAAAAGAGGTAGTCCTCAACTTACAGCCATTCATTTAGTGACCATTCAAAGCAGGGGTGGGTTCTACTTACCTTTACTACCGGTTTACAATGGGATCATGCGTGGGCGCCTTGCTTCTGCGCATGCGCAGATTGCTAATGACGACATCCGGGACGGTGGGTGGAGCCTCCCACCGGTTTTACTACCGGTTCTTGTGAACCAGTCCGAACCGGGGGCAACCCACTACTGATTCAAAGTTACAACAGCACTGAAAAGTAATTTGTGATTTATGACCATTTTTCACACTTAGAACCATTGTAATAGTCCCATAGTCATGTGATCAGAATTTGGACACTTGGCAACTGGCATGTATTTATGATATTTGTGGTATCCTGGGGTCATGTGATCACCTTTTGCAACCTCTGACAAGAAAAATTAATGGAAAAGATTCACTTAACAACCAAGTTACTAACTTAACAACTGCAGTGATCCACTTATCAACTGTGGCAAGAAAGGTCGTAAAATGGAGCAAATCTCATTTAACAACTTCTGTTTTGCTTAGCAACAGAAATTTTGGGTTCTATTATAGCCATGAGCCCAGGACTGCCTCTATGCATTTATCTTAAATGGGCTTGCAAGTTAATATAGTTCAAATGACTGGAATCCTTAAATAATTTTTCATGAAAGTCAGATTTCAGAGCAAATATTGGGTGGTTTATATTTTGCATAATAACTATTCTACATTTTAAAAATGGAAGCAGTTAAATAATATTTATTTTTCAGGTGACAATCTTAGCCCTGCCAAAGAGTACACACGCTCAGGCAGCATGGATTCCCTGTCTTCTCAGTCTCCCACAACTGCTGCTCCTACCAGCCCTCAAGACACAGAAAAAAATAATCTCATAACAGATAGTGGCAATCCGTAAGTACATATTTTTTGCTTGAAAGCCTATCTGCTGTACAAAAAGACTTGTAAAGTACAGATTTCTTGTTGCCTTAAAAGTATTTGTAAGTACTAGAAATGTGGAAAGCAATTTTGTTAGTTCCTTTTCAGGATCAAGACAACAGAATTTAGCTAGTTTCTTTAGATTTAATTATTAAAAATGATACTGCAAATTCTTGATTGCATAGAGTCCCTTCAAAATGTCTTTTAAAACATTTAATTCAGTTTAAAAATTACATACATTTTACATACATTTTAAACATATAGATTATGCAGTGTATTGTTCTTGCATAGCTGAGGTGGCGCAGTGGTTAGAGTGCAGTACTGCAGGCTACCTCAGCTGACTGCTAGCTACAGTTCAGCAGTTCAAATCTCATCAGGCTCAAGTTTGACTCAGCCTTCCATCCTTCTGAGGTGGGTAAAATGAGGACCCAGATTGTTGGGGGCAATAGGCTGACTCTGTAAACCGCTTAGAGAGGGCTGTAAAAGCACTATGAAGCGGTATGTAAGTCTAAGTGCTATTGCTATTGCTATAGAGGGGAACCCTTTAAAGTTAGATATTTACTTCATAATTCCTCCTCTCTTTGGCAGACCACAGAAGAAATAAACATTCTCTGTGTCTATTCAGTCCAGTCCCTCTGTCCCTCAGCAATATATTTATTACCAAAAGTGTTTTATTCCTAATTGTCACAACAGGAGATAGCAGCTATATGGATTTGCTGGTTTTGGAAAAGCTAAGCAGAAAATTCATGTAGAAGAGACCACCAGAAAATCCAGAATTATGGACTATACTGTACAGTTCTCTTCCCCTACTCCCCCCCTCGCCCCAAACAAGAAGGTTAAGGTAATCACTTCCATATTGTGTCCAAGAAAGCTTTATGGACATATCCATATAATCCCCAGGATTTATGTTCCTTTCAATATTTCAACCTTCTTCCTAATTAATCTACAGGTTTTGACAGGAATTTTTGTCCTATTAACATTTTGATTACTAATAATTTGCATTTAGGAAATTTTGTCAGGATGTTCATATTTTAGAAAGGACAGAGAAGCACAATGTATTTTTGTGATTAACATGAGGCTTTTAGGGGGGGAAAGCATTGCCTGCAGAGCAATGTTTTTTTTCTTCCTGCACCCAGTAATATTCAATCTAAAAATTCACCTTTGTGTGCAATCAAAAGAAAAATGTGGAATCACACTGACAGCCACAGTGGAAGATTGAAGACTGTGCAGTTACATAGACTTTTTCGTAGTGCAACCCAGGGTAAGATTCTATTCTGGGTTAAGATTTACATGAAAAGTGCAGTTCACTTTTAAAAGGAGTGAACCTTTTACTGCCATTCACAACATCTAGAAGAAAGCCTGCCTAAGCTTGTTGCTTATTAAAATTTTACGATAAAGATCTCATCTGATTATGCTTTTAGGCCTTCTAAAAGCATTCTCCTCCTTCTGCCATCTCTATAGTCAGTGTAATTCATACTTGACAAATTTCCTATATAACTTTTTGTCTCATATCATATACAGATTTCGGTTGACGTGTTCATGGCATTCAAAATAACACAAATGAAATCCATGTATTTAATACAGTATATTATGAGATCTTAATTAAAACATGTAAATATTTTATTCAATAATATTCAGTATATTATTCAACATATACAATATAATATTACTAAATATTTTGGACACTTGAACTTCAGTAAGATTAATTCAAATTTCAGCATATTGTTAATGTTTAAATTTAAACATGATAAAAATTGGAAGATGCCATATGATTAAAAGTTTGGTAGTATAAGACAATGTACCAAATTAATGACACAAAGTATCAAATAATGTTAGAAGAAAAAAAGATTAAAGAAATCAATGATCTGGCTTAATTCAAGTTTCATATACTTGAATGGAAAGAGGATATATACTATAAAGCAGGGGTCTTTCAATCTTGGCAACTTTAAGCCTAGAGTACTTCAGCTCCCAGAATTCCCCAGCCAGCAAAAAAAAAAAAGCTGGCTGGGGAATTCCGGAAGTTGAAGTCCAGCAGGCTTAAAGTTGCCAAGGTTGGAGATCCTTGCTATAAAGCATGCAAAGGTGCTATAAGTGAGCTAGCATACAGTACGTAATATTGTTTAGGGTGTTATTGCCACAGAGTTGAATGTAACTCAACTCAGTACTGATGAAAGTCAAGGAATATATTAAGTTTTTTTTAAAAAAAAAATACCAATGTGGCTAACAATGTTTTTAAATAAAAACAGGATATGAATTATAAACACAATTTGAAAAAAAATAAATTAGTTGTAAAATGTGTAGAAGTCTACATTTGATAGAAGAGACACATGCTTACAGAATCTTTTACATGCAGAGGATCCATGCCCTATCTTGGGAGAATAGAATTGGTCTATCTTCAACAGGGTGGAGAAATAATGGTCTTGTCCAGAAAGGGAACATTCAACAGGGCACTTTCTGGACAATTTAACATGGTTCAGGCTTCTAACAGGAGAGGGAGTCCTTTAATTTGGCATGCCCTAAGCCTGGTAGCACTTTAAAGATCAATACCAGCTCCTAGAGTTATAGTAGCTAGTGCAGATCTTAGATCAGTCATCCTAGGATTGTTCGATCACAACCTTATTTTCATATTTTACACCAATTATAACTTTCATATACTTTTCAAACATAATCCCTTTTGGGGTCTACAACAGTAATCAAAAAAGGATGTTAGCATGACTAAACATTACCAGTGTTGAGCTACCAGCTCAAAAAGAATTTTGCAAGAGTGCCCACCTTGAGTCCAATGACAACTGAAATCAAGTCAAATTTCCAGACTGAGCCTGCTGTTTCCAGATGTACAATCCTTTCAGAATCAGGCTGAACCTCAGTCCCTCTATTCCAGTTTCTTGTTTACAATCAGCACTTCTGTCTTACCAGAAGGTGAAAAAGCTTTTTTTTTAGAAATTATTATTACATTATCATTACAACTCTGTTTTCCTTTTTTATTTTTATTAATGCCAGTTAATAATTATTCTGCTGAAGCTAGTTTTTAGGTACAACTTTTTTGGGAAGGTAACAGTGCTCTGTGATGTCATGATGGTCACATAACCATGGAAACGACTTCGGACAGCACTGACTCAATGGCCTTGAATAAAAAAAAAAACTTTTGTAAAAGTTGTAAAACCTATGTATTGTTGTTAAAAGTATGTGCTTTAAAACCCCATTCTTGCCCTTTGAAGTATGCCTAAAGTATTTCCCTGTCTTTTTTCTTTCATTACTGAAGAGCAGTTTTTAAATTCTTGATATGTGCCCTTTCTCCGATTAAGTTGAAATTTGAGATATGAAGATTGGAAAAATCAGTAATCAGTAGTTTGCTATGCTAAATAAATGCATAACTAGGTAAAATAAATAATTGTATCTTAATTTTTTAAATAAAATGCAAATGCTTAACTTTTTCAAACTTCTTAGGAAGAATATCCAATAATAATATACATCAACTTTATATTAATTTTAGACTTGTCTTTTTTATTATTTCTTGGCCTTATAATGTTTTATCGTGTTTTATGGGTGAGAAAGTCCATAATTGGATTGGCTGCAGATTTAGTTGTATATTATTTTTGTGCTAGTTAATGTCTGTTTATCTGTCTTTCTATCTGTAGTCTATCCATCTATCTCTATGCTTAAATAGATTAAGAAATAGGTATGAAATATACCTGGAAGTTATCAACAACATGCTATTGCAGTGTAGACTGATCATACTGTAGGTACTTGCATATTTTGATTTTTGTATGTAATGGACTTTGTCTGTCTTGTTCCTCTTTAATCAAAATAAATATAATCCAATTATTACCCAAGTAATACTGGTTAAAGAAAAGTCATTATCTTCCTGTTTCGGTTTTTATTTAACAGCATATGCTCCCACTCAATGTATAATACTTTACATACAAGAAACATTTACATCTTTGTTCCTTTATTCAGTTTTAATAGAATAGTGAAATTGTGTGCCTCCTGTAAACAAAGACAGGTTATACTGTTTTATGGAACAAAATAGACCTTTCCAAAAGTTGGTGTAAAATCTTTCCTTGGCCTTTATCTTCTGCTTTCCTTGCTCACTGATTCTTGAGATAAAGGAATTCTATTTAGCAAGGTTACCTTGACAACAAGTCAGATAATATCCAATAAAGTTTCTTTTCCAGTATTTAATTCCTGAATATCAGTTAAGATGTCTAATTTAATTTTGTCAATTTTCCAAGTTGTCCTTTTAGAAAGGGAATTATACCTTATAATAATTTCTCCTTGTCAAAGAAAAATGACCAGCAAATAATCTTTCTTCTTTAATAGTTTTCCACATTCATCCTTAATTATTATTTTTTCATAAAAGCTACCATATTGCTGTTCAATACTTTACCTTATTGTAATATTTATCTTTCACGAATTACCATTTCATAAGCCAAATATAGAAACTTAATTTACTTTTTATAATTGCTAAAACTCAATCTTCTATTTTAAAAGAGCAATGGGGGTATTTTTTCTAATAAATATTTGACAACAGACTCTTTTTACAAAAAAAGATTTCACAATACTTTTTTAAAAAATAAGGGTATTCTTTGGCTTATTGTTAACGATGAACATTTCATAAGAAGTACAATAAAAATGAAATAGAATAAAAATAATTAAATAAAATAAAAAGCTTGAATGCACACTTGCCATCTTGACTTTTCCCTGAACTTTTCATATATATCTAGAAGCATACTTTTTCACTAGCCTAACAAGGTTGAATATTTCATAAAGCCAATCTAAAAGATGTTTGATATATGTTTAAAAACACATAATGACTGAAGTTAATAATATCATTGATTTTACAGATCTCAGAACTAACTAGAGTTTGCATTAAAATCATTAATTATTCTCATAAAATTATTTCAGATCCAGTGAGGTTCATTCATCAATGGTTTCCTGGATAAATCTAAAGTCAACTACAGCACAAAGTCCATTCACAACAAACCTATCATTTTTATTTCCATCCTCTGCTACAGAAACCGAGAAACCAGTTGGAAGGTAATACTGGAATATTAATTTATTTTCACTGTAATTTATCTCTTATTACATAACCAAAACAGGATTGTTCTTTTCTGTTCTAACAATTAGCATAGATATAATTGTTCTTTGATAGGTAAACTGTTTATTATCATAATATGTTTTCCATGCATGATACAAAGCAGAATATTCAAACGGGGGGCGGAGGAAGGCATAAACCAGTGATGGCTATCTTTTCCACATGCACATGTGTGAATATGCCGGAACCTCCAAAATGCAATGTGTGTGTGGCCCCCGCGCATGCGCCCACCTCGTACATGTGAGTACATCCCCCCGTCCCCCCTGCAAGCGCCCCCACACATGCATGTGTGGGCCCCCCCACATGCACCACCACCCCCCACAAGCATGTGCCGCAGACCCGAAGACCAGCTGGCTAACGGGAGGTGTGCATGCAACCACGGTGGATCTGAACTGTGGCGACGGCTCACGTGCCATCAGAGAGGGCACTGCGTGCCACCTCTGGCACACATGCCATAGGTTCGCCATTACGGGCATAGACTCTAACGACAAGGTTCAACTCTGGTCACATTGAACAAATTTTTTTCTCTCTCTCAGGATACAATTATATATTTACGATTATAATTTGCTTGTAATTTCCCAGCCACCACTTTCCTAAAAAATCTCTGATCAATCATGTCTTAGTAAAAAAAAAAAGGAAGTCAGGCCCCATAGTATGCAGGACTGAGCAAGGAGTGTGAGAATACTGAATTGTATAATAGTCTCTTTTGAGAATGGGAAATTAAGATAATGGAATATTTTACCAAAAAAAATAAGTCATTCTGTTTTATAGATAAAATAAGGAAGCCTCACATAGCTTTATTTTGTTACCAAAGAAAGACAATGAGATCAATAAATTTTACCAAGTGTTGCTAAGGATTTTAAAATGTTGAATTTTAAATTCCATAGTTGGAATGAAAGATGTTTGATTTTGAGATAATTGCTGAAATGAAAAATGATGTAAAAATTGAATAGTAAAATACAACATGAGGCAATGTCTTCATTAGTCCTTGAGTAGTGAGCTTTAGTCTTCACTTAATCATGGTAATTAGGACTGGAATTTCCAGTACTAAATGATGTAGTTATAAACTCAGATGCCTCTTGACCCTGCTGCTTAGTGACAGCAGTTATAGCAGTCCTCAGTTACCATTATTAAGCAAGGACTACAAGGAAATTAAGTGATTGCGACTTTTGACCTCCAGCCAGCTTCCCCATTGACTTTGTGGGAAACTGGCAGGGAATGTTGCAAATCATGATTGTGTGACACAGGATATTGCAATGTTGTAATCAAGAGGTGAGTGCCGATTACCCAGATTGTGATCACATGACCGTACAAGTACTGCACCAGCTGGAACCTCAAGAACCAGTCATAACTACCACAGCAGTTCAATGCTGTTGTAAGTTGGAACAGTGGTTGTTAAGTGAGCACTACCTGTAGTGACTTCATATATTTAATGAGAAAAATCTGTATACATTTAAACTTTCCTTTTGCAAGTACTAGGATGATTATTTTAATATTCATATAAATATGACAGTTATAATTTTGAGAGAAAATGATTATAATGCCTTTCAGTTTCTCAATGCTTAACAGCCAAAATACTATTTTTATTTAATGTGTCAAGTGCTACAGTGAGTATATCCTAATCAGTCTTTAATACAAATTTGATTTTTAGCTACAGATAGTATCAAAAAACTATGCAACTACAACTATGCCAACTAAAATGTAGAAATAATTTTAGTGACATTCAGTAAACAGTCTCCTGCATACTTTGTAATTTGCTTCAGGGAAAGCTAATTATGGGCAAATCCATAAAAGAAAATGGATGAATAATGCTGAAAGATGTGCATAACATGAGTGAAGCCTCCCAAAACATTAATCCTCTCCTGAATAAAAAAATTAACACTACCATCAATTGAGGTAGCAGCATTCCATGTTTCAAATGACACCTGAAACAAACAGGATTATTGATTATCGGAGAGAAAATGCACTGACAATTTCAGATGAGCAAGAAATGCATTCATAGGTAGATGAAGTCCTTGAACTATAGGTTTCTTCTTGCTCTGGTCTTGCATCTTCTGCATTAACTGCTGATTATTGTTTTTGTAGATAAATATACACACATACACAGAAACAATGGCTCTTTTCTTGTATGACTAGAATCAATATTATTTCCTTTTATTGTCATGTAAAATTGAGGATCTTTAAACTTGTGCAACTTTTTTTTCAACATTGTCAATAGAAAAGCCAGGGCAGTATATCCATGTGAAGCAGAGCATAGTTCTGAGCTGTCTTTTCAAACTGGTGCAGTTTTCGAAGATGGTAAGTGGTTATCACTTTTATAATCCTACAAATAAGCACATCTTTTAGAAAGCTGACATGTAAATATCACATGGTCTCCCTAAATGGTGTCTGCCGCAATATATGTTTGTTATGTTATGTTATGTTATGTTATGTTATGTTATGTTATGTTATGTTATGTTATGTTATGTTATGTTATGTTATGTTTATTATATTTGTATACCGCCCTTCTCCCAAAGGATTCGGGGCGGTGAACAGCCAGCAGATAAAATACAAAAAATACAAAATTTAAAACAATTTAAAACATGCAGCATCCATGGTAAGCATATGTGTTCCTGAGCGAATGTCTAATGAAGCTTTAAAAAAAATCGCATTAAGACAATCTGTGCACAGCTTGGATTTAATCTTATTTGAACATTTAAGAGAACATAAGGAATTTTTTCATGCAACTGACCTGTGGATCAAAGATACTTGAGAGATACGAATAATTTAATTGGATATCCATATTAGCCATGGTTTTATCTCTTACTTTGTTGCTACATTGTAAAAATACAGTGTAAGGATGCAGTTTTTCTATTTACATTTCCTTTCAATCCACGGCAGTTTTTCGTAATCTAGCCCTCTTAATCCCTAGATTTCTAATCAATAGCCACACTAAAATGGAAATTCTGAGAGCTTCTGAAGCAACAAATCTGTAGGATACTAATTTGGGGAAGGTTTAGTGAAACTTGGTAGAAATGAACTACATTTTTTGAATGTAACAATAGTACACTAAAAAATCAATATTCATTCAATAAATAGGGCTACATTTTACACATTTAATAATATGTAAGAAGTGAGTAAGAACTAGGTTTGGGAAAGTGTGGACTCCCGGCTATTGAGCTCATACTACATAGACTATAAATGAAAAATCCATGATACAAATTCAGTCATGTTGAAAGTTAGAAATCAGATTAAAGAAAATCTCTATTGGCCCTTTGATGGAGATAAGGTCAAGAACAGAATTCCTGGATTTCAGGAATGCACATTATAGTTATAAGATAAAATAACAGAAAGTAGAAAGCTATATTATTTTCAACTAAATCAAGGATCTTATTTATTATTTTAGGAGTTTCTTTCTCATGCTTTCCATGTTCTCAGTCTTGTAGTACTAATATTTTCTATCAACTCCCTCTTGTTGTAATAAGTATATGCTCACTTAGGATTCCTTTTATACAACATTGAGTTATACCTCTCAAACCCCACTCTTTCATAGAATGAAAGAAATATCTTGAATTTGAGTAGGGAAAAAAATGGACCAAAACAGGATACCCTTTTCAACCCTGACAACTTTTCAAAATAATTGTTTTCCTATGTTAATCTTATTCAGAACAAGAAAGCAGGTATTAACCGTAAAGTGGTTTTCAGGTACTATGAAAGGGAATAAATTGGTTATTGCACAATATTAAGCAAGAAGTAGTAGATTGTCCCGAAGGTGCTTTTTCAAAAGTCAACTGAACTTTCTTTGTTTTTCTTTGAAGATGTTTTACTTCTCATCTAAGAAGTTTTTTCAGTTCTTGCTGAATGGTAGAGAATGGAAGGATTTATATTCCTTGCAGTTGGTCTGGTTGTTAGCATTCTTTGAGTGCTAAAATAGATAATTGAGAATCTCCATAGATAAGGAGTGGGTTGATGATAGTAATATAGAAGATTTTTAGGTCAATCTAAAGTAATATAATTTTTATAGATGCTGTAGCTTTATTAGAGCAAAGGTATGAGCAAAGATATGGTTTTCTTCAAAAAAAATATGCATCCTAGGCTTTTATAAATATAGGAAAGTCTATTAGGGTGTATATATAAGAAGAATGCTTGTAAAGGGCTATAAATGCTTAAGAAAGCTCTATGTACTTGTTTTTTGTTCTAGTTTCACTATGTGCTTTAGTTCTACTTTTATTTTGTCATAGAAGATTTTATTTTTTGTGTTGCAAGAAGAAAAGTGTGCAAAACATTTCACAAGAGAAAACAAACATCCAGGATGACTTGATCTACTAACCACAAGCAGCAATTATTCCTTTAATTCTAATGTTCAACCATTGTCTTAAAGGTGGCATTTGCAACTTACATCATTCAGCTTGCAACTGAAGAAGGTGCTTCTGTAACAGAGGGCAATTATATATTATGATGCATTTTTTTCAAAGAAGCTACATGCCTTCGTTATACTTGTCCTCTGCCAGAAAAGATGGCAATTGGCTCAAATACAAGAGAAAGCTAACACTTCTATATCTGTAGGCTTAACTCCCTTTTTGGCAGTTGTTAACTGGTGGATAGCAGCAGAAACAGTAATGAATTAGACATGAACTGTTAGCATGCCTCTTTTTTTTAAAAGTAAAATCCTGAATGCAAGCTATAGCACATTGATAACTTTCTAATGAGAAAAAAGGCAGGATAGTAAGTAGTGAGCATCAAGGGGAGAAAAATTCTTTATGATAAAGAATATTTTGTGACGAACCATACTCACCCAATATCTGTTACATTGTATCAGTGCCCAAAGTATTATATCTCAGAATCGTTTTGTGCTCAAAGTGGGTGCCTACTCTGAGGTAATAGATTTTCCCATTCCTGACTGAGTTCATGGGTTGCTGTTTACTGAGTCAGCTGAAGTCCCATGATGATACGATGGTTTTTGCTAAAGAAATGATAGAAACAAGAAGCTAATTTTGTTTTTGTTCTGGTGGTCTCAGATTCTCTGTAACATTGGCCATTTTAAAAAGTATCTACTATCATTTATCTCCCAGGAAATTGTTTTGAGTCAGTCTCTCCCCGTATCTCCAAATATGGTCCCTGACTTCCTACTCGACATTATTCTTTTACCTCAAAAATAGAAATAAGAAAAGTTTCTCATGAACTTAATCTTTTCATCATCCTAAAACTTGGCAAGTATTTACATTTTTTTAAACAAGTTAAGGCGGATTAAAAAACTTGGAAATGATCTGTTTTTCTGCATGAACAGAGAAAAGGGAGCAGAGGAAAAAACCAAACATATTTAAAACAGAAATATGCATCCACCCTGTGGTTGAAATAAGTGAAGTTCATTTAGTCATTTTGCCACACACTGTATTATTTTTGCTTATAGAAGATTAAAAAATAGTTTTTTCTATTATTATTCCTTCTTCTGTTCTCTTCTGTTCTTAGTCTGTTTACCATTAAGAAAACAGGGATGCTATAGTTGGGTCTTGTCAAAAATTACCTTATAGACAGATTGCGTCTGAATCAAAAGTAATAAAAGAGGAATTAAATATGTATTTAGTTGCTTCAAAGAGCTCTCTTAAAAGCAAGTTTAGTTTAAAGGTGTGGTTTCTTGGCATGTGACTTGAAACTCCTGTAGTCAAATCTATGTACAAAATTGTTGTTGAGACATGTGGTTCACAAAGCAGGAATTTAACAGAATGCTTCGAGGCATGTCAGACCTTGTGTCTCTTCCTCAAAAGAAGAAAGGGAAATACATTTAAGGCCCTATTTTAAATTATCCCTTTGGAAAATGGGAGTTTGCATCCTTGCATTTGTTTCAACATCATTAAAATTACACCAAAAAACCTTCAACCTTTGATTCAAGCTATTTCAGCAATGCCTTCAGGAATAGATGGCTGTCACAAATGAGATTCAGAAGCAAAGAGACTTTCCAAATGTCACGTGAAGTTTTTATGCAAGACCTTAGTAGCCTAGGATAAGCTATGTTATGTTTCCCTGTGTTACCAGAATTTTGCTGAATACGTTGCTGAATAAAAAGAAAGCTTGTGCTTCATAGATTGCCAAGGGCCATTTTTTGAGCCTTTTGAGAGTCAGTCTGGTAGGATTTAGCACACGCTTGTGGCATCAGGCTTTCTTTTAGCACGGTGGTTTAATTTACCCCTTGTCCACATGGCTTGGTTTTTATCTGGCAATTACTTAAAACAGAGATAGATTGTATCATTGCAGCCTTATCTTGCCCAACTTCTTGGAAAGCCAAAAGTAGGAAATGGCTTATTTCTTGTGTTTACAGACAATTTTGAAAACTTACCTACTTATTTATTATTTATTAAATTTATATGCCACACATCTCATTGTTGCAGTGACTCTGGGTGGCTTACAAAATGATACAAAGGTTAAAAAAAATACAAAAAGTAAGATTAAATAATAAACTAAAAACCAAGAGGACAGGTGATGGGGGGGACGGACGGGGATCTTATCTCTACCTTGTCAGCTAGTCCCAGGGCCCCAGGTCAGCAGGCAAAGCCAGGTTTTAAGGCTGTTCTGGAAGACCAGAGGTGTGGAGGCCAACCTCTATTCCAGCAGGAGAATATTCCAGAGGGCAGGGACCACAGCAGAAAAGCTCTTCTCCTCAACCCCTCCAACCAAAATTTTTTGGCAGACAGGATTCAGAGTAGGAGTGTCACAGCCAATCACATTGAATTGAGTAGGTTCTTCAGATAGGCTGGATCCATTCCATGCCTAGACTTACCCACAAATGCATATTGTTTTCTAGTTCAGTTTTTCCCTTAAATCCCAAAGCATTTACCTCTCCTTAAAGGTGTATTTGGCAGCACTTGTAAACGTTTTTCTAGATATTCTGTTTCTCAAGGGACAGTATATTATATGCTAATCTATCACTTTATCAGCCCCAACTTGGAGTGTTTATTTTGTTCTGCTGAATATATTATTCAAACCATTCAGCCTTTCGGCTTCGATAAGGTCACCTTTCTTGTCTCAATTGTGAGAGGATTGGACAGCTTTGCTTCAAATTGATCTGCTTATTTTCAGTTCTACGGAGACATCATGGTTCTTTGTATCCAGTTAAAGATATCAGGGTAAATCCTCTTTGAAGGTTGCATCTTTGATATATCTTTCCATCTTCAAGACTTCTTTGTCATCTAATCTTGAAAAAGTGTTTCATTTGTTAGGGGTGCCTGTTGCCTTTTATGCTGATGGGCTTGCTTTTTTCTGACAGTATCTGGATTTGCTTACCAGTATCATGGAAACACAATATAATCAAAGCATTTTTCTAAATGGATAAAATCTATTATGTTTTAAGTGATAAGACAAATATGTTTCTGTGGGCATAAAAAGACACTTTATAACAGTGACAGTTTTTTTTCTGTATTTAATTGATATCACAAAGTCAATTCAAACATAATAATTCTGCCTTAGGTATGTGCTCTTTCTTCTTGTGTAATATGAACACCTGTCCTCTTGTGCTGACCAGGGAGTTTACTGTCATCCAAATGCATATTTACCTGGTGTTCTTCATTCAACCATGCATTCATATAGTCCACCTAAGTTTACCATTTGCAAGTGTTTATGCTATTAGATACTTGGATTTCATGGTACTTCAGTAGACTCAAGCAAATGAGGTAAATGTTGGATGACACTTTGTATATGTACATGTGATTTTTCTTATCAAAATATCACCTCCAAAGGGTTCCAAATATAGACCGGGCAGAAAAATATGTGAATGTACAATGATGGATTAAAATAGCACAATCCCGAGACTTTCCTTTTCTTTCACAAATCTGTCCACGCCATTGTATCTACATGTATGTTATTCTAAGTTTTTTTTTTGCCCTGAATAGAATTGAATCAGCTATGGAAAAGATCCTTTCAGTAATTCCCATTCAGTATAAATTGTGTGGAATATCAATAGAATGGCCTTTTCTATATTGTGAAAGAAAAACAAAGAACATGCTGTAGTTTCTCTTACATGATCTTCTGACATTTTCTTCATACCATGAAAGGAATCAAGCCTGAAGGGCAAGATAAAAAGCACTGCCTTTTAAAAGGACCATTGCATCCTTTTTGAGTGTGAAATACTTTTAAAACCAAGCCCTTAATGTCCTATGTTCTAGACAGCTGTTGCTCATGGTTTTATTCCTATCTGTGTATTTGTGGATATTAAAGTATAATGGGTGAAGTAAACAAAATTTATTACAGTCATTGATCAGACAAAAACAAAAAAATAAATAAAACAGTAAGTAAAAACCACAGTAAAACTCAATAATTAAACTGGTGTGGACAAAACATAACAGATTTTGCTAACAGTAAAAATGTAGCCACGTTTATGGCACTAAAATCATTAATTGGATAGTAACAGTTATATATATAAAAGTATCTGGTAATCTGTATATCTAGCCAGCTGGAGAGTTAGTATCTGAGGTTGGGCATCTTTATAAAGGAAGCATTACAGCAAAACGGGTCAGGAGCTCCTTCACCACAGGGGCAAAATAGCTGTTGGGAGGATGTTAAATTTGCCTAAGTTTGACTCTTTGAATTTTGATCATGTGATTTGGCAAACTTGGAAAAAGGTGAATGACTATCTAAGAACACATCTTGGAGTATGGCAGTGAGGTCCGATTGGCTTCCTAATCCTGGACATGTTATTTAAAAGCTACCCTTAAGTATTCATATATCATCTTCAGGATTATATTAAGCGAAAGACCATAGCACTTCAATATTTCATGCAGTGTCCTATGCCAGGATTAAACAAAGTCAACACTTAAAATCAGAAATAGTAAGCTCATGAGAAAAGAAATCAACTTAACAAATAACAGATGATGAATGTCCAAATATAAACTTCAGTGTTGATCCCACCAGCCTCATGAGCAAGACCACATTTGGGACAGATTGTGGGACTTGAAATTTGTTATTTAAAAATTTAGATTGCACCCTTTAATGAGTGGAAGAGCCCTATGGTTCCAATTAGGTTCTGAACAAAAGTTGGGCCTGTACATTGGCTGAAAATACTGTTAGTGCACTAGATACAAATAATGCATTGCTTGTATAATGCAAGACTTGTCTGCATTTTGGAAGACATAATCCACATGTGCCCAGCATTTATTAATAGCATGACATATTATCTGTAAATTCTTAAAAATGTGTTTACCAAACAAGAATTTTAGAACGCTTAGTTAGTACATACTTGCAAATCTTAGGTTCAAGCTGTCAAATCTAAGCAAAATCACAGTATCCAAAGAGTCTAACCTAGGCAAATTTAAAGTCCTTCCAATAGCTTTCCTGAGGGGAAATTACAGGGTGTCTGAGTTTTTTTGAATAACTATGTTTAAGTGCTGATGCACTACAAGATGCAGCTAAACATGTAAATCTTGCTTTAGATCATTTTGTGTCTGAGATAACAGCGCTGCATCATTTGCATATAGGAGAACTGCGGTGTTTCTATCATTCAGTTTTGGGGGACGATGAACTAGATTATTTATCTTGCCACAAGAGGACTCAGACATAGCCTGAATATTAGTGAAGCCAAGATACATCTTTGCTTCTACCGACAAAAAATTCCTTAGTGGCAGGGATAAAAATAAAGTGACTCCAGAAATGAATATGTTTTTAATAATTTCAAGTGTAGTAAGTAGAATATTTTAGTATCAAAGAGAATTGTTAATTAAGCTGTGATATTTACCAAGTCTGTAAAACCATTTGTCCTTCAATAGTATTGAGAAAAAGGACTGCTTCTTTTCCTGATGCCTCTCTGCCCATGGACTTATTCAGATACCACAAAACCAGTTAATACATGTCACTAAGCTTCCATATGCTTTAATAAGCCTTTAAATGAAGAATTGAGAGAATAATGCATCTTTTCTATTGTTCTACCAATAACTTAAAATATCAAACTGACAGTGCATCCATCAAATTGACATATTGCCAATAACAGCCACTTAATATAACCGTTAAATTACTGACATAAATCACCACATCCATAAAGGAAGATTCTCTCCTGTCCACTTTTTCCTCCATCTACTACTCCCTTTTTAATCTCTCCTGTATTTATTCTCCTTTCCTTAACCTATTTTATATGAGAAAATCTTGACCAGAATCAGGTAACATCTTCATTCTCTTTTAGCTAGTTTACCCATTATTATTGTTCAGGAGGGTTGGATTGAGAGCAGGGCTTGGGTTCAAAGAAACAAATAAACTGGGAGAATTTGGGTACCGACACTATTCAGGATTGGTGCAATTGCTATGCATTTTTAATTTCTTTTAAGATACATTCCATATAAAGATTCAATTAATGATTTTGCAACCAATTTACGTGTCATTATACCAAAGGAAAACTATTCTTTATTTATTCAGTATTAGCATTTGAAAATGACATCAAAGAAGAGAATCCCAAGACAAATCAGTTACTTTTCTTTAAGCAGCTACAAATCAGTCTGCTACCACTATATACCACTATAACTTATTCTTTTTATATTTGATTCTGAAAAGAGAATCTGTTCCACTTTGCAAAGTGGAAGAAAAAAGTGCTCAATAGCTTCCTCTGAGACATTTCATTTATAATTCATTTTTGCTGCGTATTTAAAGTGCTTGAACTGTTGTCTTTTTCAAGTCTTTTAATAACTTAGCTTTAATATCTTAAATATAACTGGAAAATTTGAGTCATGCTCCAAATCTCTCTCAAAGATGCAGTGAATACTTCAAAAGCAAAAGGGTCCAGTGGCAATCATTAGATTTTTCAACTAATACAGTATAAGTGCGCCAAAATCAAAGTGTTCTAAAATATTTTGTGTTGCAATAGTATTGTGATATATTAGGCACGCTGATTTTTATCTTACCATTTAGATCTGTAAGGTCAGAAAGTACTACCGATTCTGAATATTTCTGTTGTTTTAAAGTCTTTTAGTTATAAGGAATCTGGTTTCTCTGGTTTCAACTAATACATTTTATTAAAATGCATAAGCTTTCATTAGTTGCAGCTCACTTCATCAGAATGGCTAGATAGACAGATGTAAGATTTAAATCAGGGTAAAATCCTGATGAGGAAAAAGATTGGAGATTAGGGTTATGGCATGTAAAACAGATTGTCTGACAGATTACTAATTAATAATAGTAATGTGTTAAAACTCATTGTGTTTATTGAGATGTTCTGAGATTGGCAAAAACTTTAGATATATGCAAGTTCAGCAATTTCTTGCTAAGTGAAGTGGTGGATTTAATCTTGCTTTTCCAAAACAGTTTCCGATACTATTTTGGCCTCATTTGGAGACCTGGTGTCAAACTTCTGTTCATTAATTCTTTGAGGAAAATTTGTCCAGTTTGTTCTACATAAAATCCAGAAGGTACATTGTTTGCAGATGATTGAATATATCACATATGATGGACAGTATGTGTAGATTCCTTCAATCTTGTACATGTGTATTTTTGGTAATGGGGTTGCTGGTGTAGACCAGATAGCAACTAGACCTTTGGGATTGTGGTGCTGTCTCCTTCCAACAAACTCCTTCCTGTTTGTTGTAAGAATCTGCTTCAGGTAAACACTGCATCTGATAAAATGAGCTGAATATTATAAAAGCTTATGCCTTTTATAAACTGTGTTAGTTGGAAAATATTAACTTTTTCCTCTTAATTTTTTGCTACCATAGACTTATACAATTCTCCTCTTATAGAAGTTCAGCCATATGTCCCTATCTCTCACATTTATCATTAATTAGTATTCCTGGAAAATGGAGATTCAAAGATTGATTTTAATTTGTTTATGTGAAATATTGGTTGAACAATTTTGGAAAAGTTTTATAAATTATGGATTAACCCAATTAACATGCATTTTTCTTTTCTTTTTCTGTGTTCTTCAGTGCATCTTTCACGAGAACCTGGCTGGTTAGAAGGAACTCTAAATGGGAAGAGAGGACTCATTCCGCAAAACTATGTCCAGTTTCTTTAGTTTTCTTCTGAATGCTTGGAAGGTGTACATGGTATCCATGGCTATAGAAAGATAGACATTGTATATTGCTTTTCTTGGCTTCAGAAACTTTTAATCAGTAAAAATTTGAGATTAATATCTTAATCTGTATAAAGATTTAACAGTGCAGTTGCATGTAATTTTATATGGAGTAGGAGAGAGAAAGAGAAAGAAATTTAATTTTATAAATAATACTTTGTAAAGATTTAGAGTTATTTGTATGTTTGCATGTTTGTAAGAACTTGAATCAAAAAGCCGTTTAAATTGTTATCCAAATACCAGTTTAAAAAGATCATAAAACTGTTTAATCTGCTTTTGTATTTTAAATTTGAGAGGTATAAAACTTTGGAAAGTGGACTCAAATAACTTCTTTGCAACCAAAACTGTTGGAGAAGATTCATATGGCCAATTCATTGCGAAGGTTGTAATTGATCTAAAAAAGGCAAAGTTCTTCAAGCTGAGCACAAGTCCAGATGACTTCAGGAATGCAGCCATGTAACTTACTTAGTAGCAGTATGGAAGTCGGTTGCTGTTGCCTTCTGGGGATTTAATTTTTTAATTTCTGCTGTAATCTCCAATCCAATCTCTGAAGGACTCCATCTGAGTACTCACCAGGCTGGATCCAGTGTATTAATTGTGAATGCCCCTTAGTTTGAAAATGAATAAATCAGCTGGAAAAAAAGGATGCATTTAAAATCTACAGAAGGGATGAATCAAATGTAATTTTCAAATGTCCAAAGTATGAAAATAAATCTATATAAATAATGTAGTTTCACTTAAATGCTCACTGAAAAGTAGATGTCAAGTAGCTAAATTAGCAATCTCCCTGAAGTGCTTCTTCTATACTCTTAAGGGTTTTTTTTTTCATGGATGTACTATCGCCGGCTTCCAATCTCTCGTTCATGTTCAAAAGAAGGTTATTAAAGTTTTCAATCCAAAGCTAAACCATATGGAAGAATTCATGGCAAGTATGTTTTCTCTTTCCCTGCCTTTGCAAATCCTTCCAGTAGAACTGAGATGGGGAAACCTGGCCTCTCCAGTTGTTGCTGTATTTTCACTATCATTCGCCTCAGGCAATGAATATCAAGGTTGATGGGGATTAGAGTCCATCAGGGTCTGGAGTGGTACAAGTGCTCAGTCTCAACTGTTAGGGAAATGGCTGGACCACTCAAGTTAATAATGGAATTGTAGAGCTGAATAGCTCTCAATATTAGAAAACTCCTTCCATTAAATTAAATTAAAGTATTCCAGTATTTGAGGGGCTGCCACAAAGAAGAGGGGTGAATTTATTTTCCAAAGCACCAGAGGCCAAGACAAGGATGGAAACTAAACAAGGACAGAAGCAACCTGGAATTGAGTAGAAACTTCCTAACAGGGAGAACAATTAACCAGTGGAACAGCTTGCCTTCAGAAGCTTCATCCCTGGAGGTTTTTAAGATGAGACTGGACAGTCAGCTGCCTGAAATAGTATAGAGTCTCCTGCTTGAGCAGGGGGCTAGACTAGAAGACCTCCAAGGTCCCTTCCAGCTCCTGATTGAAATATGTATATACTGTTGAATGCAAAAGCTTAGGCAACACTGCATGTTTTGATTAACAACTAGGTGGACAAAAGTTGATATAACTTCTACAGGATACAAAGTTAAGTAAGCATTTTACTGAAAATTTAAACACAGACTTACTATATATGCATCTTTTTACAAATTCAAAGACATTGAAAACTGATTATGGTAGGTGCAGAAGTTTGGATGTTTTTTTCAGTCCGCACTTTGAAATACCTCCTTCAACAGGAAAAACATTTTTCAGATGTAGACAACTTTAATTTTTTTGCTTTGTGCCTCTGAAACTTATACTACTCTTCCTTGTAGAATTTTGTAGCTCAGAAATTTTCTTAGGATTTCTTACATGCATTGCATGTTTGAGAACACCCTACAGATTTTCAATTATAATGAAGTCTGGAGAATGTGAAGGTACTTGAAGAACCTTTCATAGTAATTTACAGTCAATTTGAGGATATATGTCAAATATACTACCTTATTGAAATATCCATCCTCAATGTAGTTTCAATTTCTTTTATGACTGGATATTATCTCCTAGATTATGTTGATGGGTAGTTGAAAGTTCTATCCTGCAATATTCACTGTTTTATTATTCTGTGTAATCAACTACACACAAATACTAAGCGTGCATTCAAATTTATAGACCTATATAATGTATAACTTTGTACCGTGCAGAGATTGGGTCAGCTTCTCTTCACTAAGGATTCATTAAAATATAACTTAACCAGGGTTGCCAATTTTTTTTTATGATCCCCTGAGAACCATTGATTAAAATGAAATATAAACTATAACTTACTATTGATTTGAGAACTTTTTCTTTACTATCTTCAGAAACAGTTTTTACAAGTTTCCAATCAGTGGGTGAAATTCAGGACTTTTTTTTCATGTTCAATCAAGAAGTTTTTAAGTCCTAAGGATAATGTAAAGGAACGGTGACCACTTAATTCTTTTTCATGTAGCTGTTTGTGGTAAATCTTCTGTTGCCAGATTTTCCGAACAAAAGAGGAAAAATTCAGACAACTTTATCTTTCTATAATAAGGTAGTGTTTATTACCCGTAGCTAGTTTGGGCTTTTTAACAATAATATATGAAAAAAAATTATACTGTTCACTATAATATAAATTTCCACATTTTAGGTACTGATATGACTTAAATGCACCACTTTGTAAAGAAAAATAGTTGGAAGTAGTAGGATTTTGAGGACAGGAAATTGAAACAGTGGAAATATTAATTTTACATTCTTGAATAATGGTTTCTACCAATGTGTACATCAACTGATCTTACGTTGCATGATCAGTAAATTCTTAGGGATTTTCAACCAGAACTGTACTGTTCAGTTGAAAAATGCTGATTCTGAGATAACAGTGAGTGAATCTTTTGTGGCTGATTTGTGAAATGCTGCTTCAATGAATAAGCAGCAGTTTTCAACATTTTGTTTGCTTAAATTGTTTCAGAACTGACTTCTACTGCATCTTTTGCATCTGAGATAATGCATACATAGGCCCTAATCTATTACAAATTGGAGTGTGCATTTTCCTAGGTATACAGTAGTGGCCAAAATTGTGGAAACCTTTTGGGGAAAGTATATTTTTGAGGTTTGATGGCTAATAACATCACTTTTTTTTTTTTTTTTTTTTGAGTTTCAAGATAATTATATTCCACTGTGGAATGGCCTGGGAATAGCCCAGACCTTAACCAATTGAAAATCTGTGGAGCTGACTATAGAAACTTGTTAGTCAGGACCCACCCAGCAATAAAACCCAGTTAATAGAAGCAATCATTCAATCTTGGTTTCACATTGTACAGCTGCAGCACTAAAAGACTTGGTTCACTCTGTGGGAAGGTGTTGTAAGGCCATAATTCATGCTAGAGGTTACCCAACTAAGTATTAACTGACGGGATAATTTTTGTATATCTTGTTTTTTCTACGTGTTTCACTTTTCTTCTTTATACTGTAACTGCAATTCTAATAGCAAATCCTTCATAAAAGTTATTGCATTACATTCTTGATTAAATTATCTCTCCATTGATATATAATTTTATGGTACTACTACAAAAAAAGTGGTGTTATTAGCTTGTTTTAGAAAATACACTTTTCCCAAAACGCTTCCACAATTGTGGGCCACTACTGTATGTATACATAACTTTGTGTAGCTTTCAAAACCAAGTCTTGACTATAACATGGTTGATGGCAAAGTGCTTATTAAGAAGATAATGATAATTTTTTATATAGAGTGGATCACCACCTTCTTTGGAATTCCGGGCCTCAGCACACTAAGACTATGCTATAAATACAATTTGGAGCAAGAACAGCAGCCATATCTTTTTTTCATCTTGCATGGAAATCTGAAGGAAAAAAAAAACCCCACCATGGCTGCTTTTGTCAATAGCCGAAAGGTGCTGTGCTTGTACAGTTTCTAAAGCACTACTTTTGAATCATTTTTGACATATGCAGACTACATATTTTAAAAGCAGTGCTCCCTAAAATCAGCATGTTAAGTGTGCTACTAGAGGAGCAAACATATTGGACAAAGTATATACCAACATTAAACATGGCTATAAAGTTATACAATTACCACATTTGGGACAATCAGACCATATGTCATTGCTTTTAGCACCAGCATAAATCCCTCTTAGGAGACAGGCTCTGCCTATAATGAAGACAGTGAACTCTTGGCCCGAAAATGCTTCCCAACAACTTCAGGATTGTTTTGAGAACGCAAATTGGGACATCTTTTACCACCCTGACCAAGAGGAGCACACTTCAGCTGTTCTGTGCTATATCAAACACTGCACAGATACTATCACTGTGGATAAATGTATTAGGATCTATCCCAATCAGAAGTCCTGGATGACCAAGGAAGTCCAGCACCTCTTGCATGACAGGACCAAGGCCTTTAGGTCTGGTGACGGGGCAAGATACAGTGTTGCCAGAGCTAGTCTGAAGAAAGGTATTCGGAAGGCCAAAGACTGATTATAAGAGGAAGATTGAGGATCATTTTTATAGTAATAACATAGGCAGGTGTGGCGAGGAAGCCAACAAATTACCAACCATCAACTGACCAATGTCATCCCTGCTGAGGGGGATGCATGGTTGACAGAGGAGCCATTTTGTCATTTTGCTCGCTTTGAAGTGGAGACATCAGAGACACCTAAAATACAGCCACCAGTCCATTGTAGACCCCACCTCATTGTGGAGGAATAGGAGATGAGAATCATTCTGAGGGCTGTGGACCCTAGAAAGGCTGCTGGTCCTGACGGTATATCTGGCCAAGTGCTTAAAGACTGCTGATCAATTGGTTGGAGTCTTTACCAGGATCTTCAGTCGGTCTTTTTCCCAGTCCACTATTCCATCTTGTTTGAAGGCTTCCACCATTGTTCCGCTGCCAAAGAAGTTCCCTATCAATAACGTTAATGATTACAGACCAGTGACACTCCTATCATCATGAAGTGCTTTGAGAAAATGGTCTGCCGGCACATCATTTCTGGTCTTCCGCATACATTTGATAAACACCAGTTTGCATACAGAAGAAATTGATCTACAGAGGATGCTATAGCCATCACTCTTCATACTGCTCTGACTCATTTGGAACAGCGGGAGGGCTATGTGAGGAAGCTTTCTGTAGATTTTAGCTCTGCATTTAACACAATACTTCCATGTAGACTAGTGTCTAAACTTATGGATCTTGGGCTTTCTTATTCAATCTGCCTTTGGAATATGGATTTCTTGTCGCTGCTCTCACAGGGTCAGATTAGGTAATCTCTTCATCCTTTATTCTTAACACTGGTACACCACAGGTTGCGTGTTGAGTCCTTTACTCTATACTCTCTATGTGCATGACTGCATTCCCACTCATGCTAGTAATACTATTACTAAATTTGAAGATGATACAACAGTGGTGTGACACATCTCCCGGGGGGGGGGGAATGAGTCTGCCTATCGAGATGAGGTGGACCGGTTGCTTTCGACCTTAAGACCAAGGACCACTTATAGTGGACTATAGAAGGAATAGATCAGACCTCCAGCCTTGCTTATCAATGGAGACCAAGTGGAGCAAGTGGCCAATTTTAAGTTTCTGGCTGTTATCATAAAAGAGGACCTGATCTGGGACACTCACATTGCAGCACTGGTCAAAAGGGCCCAGCAGAGATTATACTACCTGAGACTTCTCAGGAAACAACAATGAAAAACTGCTGGTGACCTTCTACCGCTGCACCATAGATGGTATTTTACCACTTGTTTGGTTTGCCAATTGTACAGTGGCAGATAGGACAGCACTCCAGAGGTTAACATCAGAGGATCATTGGTTGCCCTCTCCCCTCTTTGGAAGAGCTTTATAGCTCCCGCTGCCTTAAGAAAGTTCAAAACATTCTTAAAGATCCATCCCATCCTGGGCACCCTTTTTTGGAACTATTACCATCTGGCAGACGGTACAGGATAATAAAAACAAGGACAAATAGGCTGAAAAACAGCTTCTATCCCAGGGCAATAACTATATTGAATTCTACTGTATAGTGCAAAATTAATACAAAATTGGGTTTTCAATTCAATTGTATAGAATGTAAAGGATGTGTGTTTGTGTTTCTATAGTTACAATGTACACTGAAGATGGCATTTAATTTTGTTGTACAAGATGCGATGACAATAAAGTAAACTAACCTAAACAAAAACCTACAATGAAGTAAAGGATATTTAAACTTGTATCAAGATTGTAATAATGATAGCTATAGTTCATCCTCAATAAAGCTGATTACCACGCACAGATTAGTAGGAGGTAAATACACATTTACTTCATAATCAGAAATTGAATCACATGACCTGTGCATTTTACTGGGCATTTTACAATAAATCTGTGTTGTAATGAACATTTGGAACATACCAATTTTTAAATAAATTCTTAGGAATACAAGATCTTTGTTATTGTCGTCCTTAATTAAATTAAAATGGTTTGAAAAACAGATCATAGCTAATGATACTTTTACACTTTTTCTTTAATTCGAAGGTTTAACTGACAACCATTGGCTGCTCTTTTGTCCAGAACTGTACACAAATTATTTCCAGATGACACAGTTGTGATCCAACATAGCGTTGCTTTTTTAGTCCAACTGGAACTCTCCCAGACTGGGGCATTAATATAGATCTTAGTATCTAAAGCTATAATCGGTACCAGATAGCTTAAAGGTGATTCTACTTGGGAGATCATCATGCAGTTTGGAAATGTTACCCAAAACAGCACAGATGCCTGTGGAATAAGGTAATGGAAATCAGGTTGTCTGTTTGAACTATTAGAAGGGCAATTGAAACGCACACAGTTCTGAGTTTCTTTATTTATCTCTTCTTTTTTCTAGTATGATTGTACTCAAGACGTAGAATCCCTGTGATGCCCTCGGCTAACACAAAACTATGCTCATAGTTTCCTCATGCAGGCATGATTAATCAAGATTGTCTGAGTGATGTGTAAGAAACTACAGTCCTTTTCACAATTTCATGGAATAGCTGAGAATGAGAGCAACAAGCATCATTCTACTCTCCTTCATGTTTGGGGTAGAGTAATTTAAATAGCTAATTAGGCATCATTTAGTTACATCTTTATAATGAAAGGATCCAATTCAAGAGTTGAAAATAATAGCTGTTTCTCAGTGAGGCAGTGTTATTAGAAACGAGTAGAAATAGGCTTCTACTTGAATGCTGGATCCAAGCAGAACTTGCTTTTTCCTCAGAATGTATTAAAGCTATTAATGTGTAAGCATACATTTTAAGTGTTTCTTATATGTTATTACCTTTGTAAATGGTGGGGTGCTTGGGTAATTATGAGGGGCCAAGGCTCCTGAGCTTTCCCTGCATAGAAACTAGAACCAGAAATAGAGACCAAAGAATTGCTGCATAATATACTGTTGTAGTAAATGTTTATACTGTGGCAGCCACAGTCCATTACAGCCCATCCTCGACTTATGACTTTTAGTGACCATTTGAAGTTACAATGGCACTGAAAAGAATGACTTATGACCGTTTTTCACACAACTGTTGCAGCATCCCCGTGGTCACGTGATCAAAATTCAGATGGTTGGCAACTGACTCATATTTATGACAATTGCAGTGTCCTAGGATCGTATGATCAGCTTTGGCAACCTGACAAAACAAAGCCAATAGGGAAGCCAGATTCACTTAACAGCTGTGTTACTAACTTAACAACTGCACTGATACAGAATGACAGTGTTGGAAGGGACCTCCAAGGGACCTTGGCCAGTGTTGGAAGGGACCTTGGATTGGACTTTCTAGTCCAATCCCCTGCACAAGCAGGAGACCCTATATCATGGGAAATGGCTGTCCAATTTTTTCTTAAAACCTCCAGTGATGGAGCATCCAAAACTTCTAAAGGCAAGCTGTTTCGCTGATTAATTGTTCTCACTGTTAAGAAATTCCTCCTTAGTTCCTTGATTGGTTTCCATCCATTGCTTCTTGTCCACCTTCTGGTGCTTTGGGGAATAGTTTGGCCCCTTCTTCTTTGTGGCAGCCCCTCAAATATTAGAACACTACTATTATGTCATCCCTAACCCTTCTTTTCATTAGACTAGACATACCCAATTCCTGGTATTGTTCTTCATATGTTTTAGCCACCAATCCCCTAATTATCTTCGTTGCTCTTCTCTGCACTCGTTCCAGAATCTCAACATCTTTTTATATTGTGATGACCAAAACTGGATGCAGTATTCCAAATGTGGCCTTACCAAGGCATTATAAAATATTAATATTTCATGTGGTCTTGATTCTATCCCTCTGTTAATGCAGCTTATGATTGCATTGGCTTTTTTGGTGGCTACAGCACACAGCTGGCTCATATTTAAGGGATTGTCCACTCAGATTCTAAGATCCCTCTTGCAGTTACTGCTATTGAGCCAGGTTCCACCTATATTGTATCTGTACATTTGGTTTTTCTTGCCTGGCTGTAACACTTTTCTCACCATTGAATTTCATTTTGTTAGCTAGTCCCCAGTGTTCAAGTCTGTCAAGGTCCTTCTGGATCTTGAGCCTATCGTCTGAGATGCTGGCTATTCCCTGGCATTCCAGGAACTTTGAAATATTTGGTTCAATGATTCTGAGATCATGTCTGCCATCTCCTTCAGAACTCTGTGATGTAATCCGTCTGGTCCTGGTGATTTGAACTCATCTAGAGTGGACAGGCGTTCTCTTACCATTTTCTTGACTATTTTAATTTGTATTCCTAGTCTGTCTTTTACGGTTGTATTTTTGGTAGGTTGGGCTATTTTTTTTCTTTTGCGTGAAGAGAGCTGCAAAGAATGAATTAAGCAGCTTTGCTTTTTCCCTAATGCCTATTACTTGCTTGCCATCTTCTCTCATTAGTGAACTGTGTCTTTGACTTTTTTCTTGTTTTTTGTATGTTGAAACTTTTATTATTATTTTTTACATTTGTTACAAGTCTTAGTTCATTCTGAGCCTTAGCTTTCTTGACTTCATCTTTGCAGATTTGGCTATAGGCTAGTATTCTTTCTTAGTTATGTATCCCTCTTTCCATTTTATATACTTACCCTTTTTGTCTTTCACTTTATCAGTGAGTTCTTCATGCAACCATGCTTAGATTTCTTATTTACTTTTTCAGTGGTATTGTGGTGGACTGGGCTTTTATAATCACATTTTTCAGTGTTTCCCAATCTTCTTGAATTGTTTCTTTAAGATTTTCATCCATGGGATCCTTCCCAATCTCTAGGTTTGTTGAACCAATTCTTTTAAAGTCTAGGGCATTAGTCTGATTTGGTTGTGTTGCTTGTGTCTACTTTCTATTGAATTCCAATATAACATGGTAACTCTCCCACAAAGTGCCTGCAACTTCAACCCCTTCTATCATTTCATTTCTGTAAGAATTGTCCAGTATAGCTGAGCCCCTAGTACCCCTCTCTACCTTTTGGATGACAAAGTTATCAGCTAGACTCATAAGAAACTTGTTCGATCTCCCACTTGATGCAGAGTTTGTTTCCCAGTAGATGTCAGGGTAGTCAAAGTCCACCATTACTACTGTGGTGTGTTTCATGCATTACAGATTAGCAAAAAAGTTCATCCATTTTGTCTGCTTGGTTGGGTGGCCTATAGTTATACCTATGTCATTCATAGCTAATCCAGTTTTGTTTGTAAAAGTCCCAAAGATTGGTCAGCCCGCCCCTCATTTTTAGTTTAAAGCCTTTTGAATAAATTGAACCAGTCATTTTCCAAATACGTTCTTCTCTGTTCTTGTGAAGTCCATCCCTTTCCAGAATCCTTTCATGCAGTGGTATAAGAATTCAAAGTACTCATAGAGGCACTATCCCTTAAACCAATGGTTTATTTCTAATATCCTTTGTTCCCTTGATCTTTTTGTTGTTGAAAGTCCAGATCAAAACAACCCCACAGCTATGAAAGGTCATAAAATGGGGCAAAATTCATTTTACAGCTGTCTCACTTAGCGATAGAAATTTTTGGCTCAATTTGGTTGTACGCCAAGGATATATAATGTAAACAAATTTGGACCTTGCTTTCATTGTTAGGACTTACATAATTTTGGTACTGCTGGGGATCACTAAAATAAATCTGTTCTTCTACCTTGCCAGATATACACATTTTACTAAATCATAAATAAGAGGAAAATTTCTTACTTTTCCCAATTTGTCAAATTGAGATAATTTTTCCATGACCATTTTCTACTTTTGTTTTTCTAGAAGTACATTATTAGCATAACAACTGTCCTACAATGGACCAGAGATCGTAATTACCATTGCCACTGGTTAATTTTCACAATCTAAAGAGGGCATTCTTGGCCATTGCCATGTGAGGAAGCATTTAAAATCTTCTAAAAGGCAGGAAGATAATGCTGTCCTAGAACAATGAAGGTGCAATTCATTGAGAATAGTGAATAGATGACTAGTGATTCTGATTTTCATTTATATTATTGAAACAGCAAACATTCAAAAAGGCTGTGGATGGTTTCAAGTTTCTAATATGTATCTGTGTGAGGCTAACTTTATTGTGGTTGATTCACATACCATACTAAATCATTGTGCAGTTTCTTTGATTTGGCTTATCATAGGTTGCTCCAGTCATCAGTGTTTTTTTCACTTTTTTCTGTTGTGTGAACAGAGATACTTCAAAAACCTTTGCCCTGTTCAGACATAGCAACATAAATTGTACAATTGGCAATCAAGGAAAGCAGAACAGAGCATACTCATTGTATATCATTATCCGCCCATGGTGTCCAATTGAGGGTTTATTTTAATTCCATAGAGTTAAGAACTCTGGGAAAATCTCTACAACCATTTTTTGCTCCATGTGATTCAGAAGCCTGGAAAATTGGGATTCTATGTTACTTCCATAACTAGACAGAAGTGATGCTGTTTGGTTGCCACTTGCTTTCTTTATAAAGAGGGTAGGACAATGCCAAAAAATAGGATAAATGTCAATTTGCATATCCACTTCACTGTCCTTATACCTGAACATAGCTAATCCAGTTTTGTTTGTAAAAGAACCTTCTCCACCCACAATAAGTTATAGACCAACAATGAGTTACTGATATATCAGTACAGTCAATCTTCTGGCTCTCAAATTGGATGTCTACTCAGAAGTTCTACTCCTATAAAAAAAAATAGCTCCCAATGAGGGGTTTTAACTGCCACAGCAGAAGTGAATTGCCCTTACTGTGCATTTTAAAGAAGTGTTCAGTATCGGTCCCTATTGGTTACAGACGGTGTCAATCCCCATGCCTGACTGCCAAGACCGCCATTAGGAGAATGAAGTATATTACAAAAGCAGGAATCCAGATATGTAGAAGACAAAAGAGTGATGTAAAAGAGCATCTTGAACATAATATATTGTGTGTGAATCTCTGCCTAAAGAAAGAGATGCATAATCAGATTAGTCTGATTTATATCAAAGCACAAGAAATTACTATGATCACACCATTTTAATTTGTGTATATTTATACAACTTATAAAAATTATGTACTTAAAGACAATAACATAAAGGCCAAACAGTAATTTTGTATTTATTCAAAAGGTTTAAACATACAGAAGCAAGCTCCTAATTATTAATGCATCATTATGCATAGATGTTGCTGTTTTATACTGTAGTGCTGGCTGCTTTTTTTCATCCAGTAATAATAGGACACAACCACCAAGAACTTCTCCTGCACAAGTGCTAAAGTTCTTGATATAATGTGCTCTTCAGCTCTATGAGCTTTGAAACATTACTCTGAAAACCCTGGCATTATAACTGCTACCTAACAAGTTAGTCATCTGCCAGATAAAATTGCACCCTTCCTTCTTTCTTTCTCCCCTCTATCAAAAATGTCACATCTTTAATAGACAATTAAAAGTGCATTAAATGTATAATGGTTTAAATTCCGAAAGGTTTCTAAAAGTCAGTGAAAATACCACCCTGTGATTAGATTTTTGCATTATTGATTATAAAGTATATTTTATTTTAAGATTTTGATATTGCAAGCTTTTAGTCCTTTTTCAGTTTTGTTCTGTGCAACAGAATGGTTATACACTGCAATGCAATATTATTCTTGAAATACACACTGCAGTAAATTAAAACTATTTTACATTTATATAAATACAGTGTTCTTGCTGTATAATTTCAGTCATTGCCACAAAATCATTACACTCAATCAACACAATTATTTTCACATTTTGAAGTTGTTTATCTTATTTTGCAGGAGACAAATATCTATTTTCCTTCTAAAATATAATGTACTCCTGATACCTTCCTTTCATTTGAAGTTCATTTTAATGATTTCTAAGCAATAATCAATGGTTTCATGAACAGGTGATTAAAGAATTTATTATAATCTGCATACTTTTCCTTCAAAGATAGCTATTTTGCATAAAGTTATAAATTGTTTTAAAACTAATTTAGTGTTTAATTCATGACAGTTCCAAGATTTATGAATTGTACCACAATTAAATGCAATAAGGTACAAAAAATAAGAATAACCAGACAGCTGACATCTATCAGTGGATTTAAAAAAAGAAAATAATATGGCTTTAATATTTTAATCAAGCAAAGTTACTTGGAGATAGAAAAATATTTAGTAACTTTGCTAATAAAAAAACAGCTGCATCATTTACCACAAACCTGGATAATTTAAAATTCCAATTTCAGTAAGTTTTTTTTTAAAAAAAAACTTAATAAAAAGGATATTTAATATAAACAATCATGTTGCATGCTATATATTTTTATCACTGTAGAAATTCAGTTTCATATTGCTGTGCAGTCCAAAGAGTTGATAAAGGATTTTGATTTTCAAAACTGCAAATATATTTATTAAATTGCATTCATTTCAGCTGGAATTAAGTTCAGCTAGTATTGTCAGGATTCAACCCAATATATGGCTGTGTAATGTATATCTTGGTTCTTCTGTTTCCATAGATTCTCATTTAGAAAACTGTATGGCTCAAAAAGGTCAAGTTGAATTGAATTCAGTTCTGCTTTTCTACCACTGGAATTAACAATACTGGCAGATCAGCAGATCAGATTTTCCCTTCCCCTATAAAGCTGGTTCAGATGGGTGAGGAGGATGCTTAGAGAGATTTGGGGATGCACAGGAAAACTGGTTTGAAAAATCCACCTATGGTTTTGTTTAAATTTTACCGATGCAAGATGGAAATGCAAATACCTGTTCAAGTTTCAAAAACTTCATGAATGACTAGGATCCAAGGAATTACTTGGGCTTCTATGTATGCTCCATAACTGTTTTTGAAATAGTGCTTTTAAAAAATAGTTTGTACATTAGATTTGCTGTTAATTGCAGCAGGTTCCAAGGAATATATCCAAATTTTAAGCACACCTAAAAAAAACCTTTGGACCCCAGATTTGGTTATTAATTACATGGTGTTAAGCATGGTTACTAAGAAGTAATTAGTAATTCCACTGGGACTTATTCTCAAATAATTGTACATAGGATTTCAACCTAAAAGATCCTTTATTTTTCTCAAAGAAGTTATCTAGACTTTGTTTTAGACGAAGATACCTGACAATTATTGTATGTAATATCAATTATTGTAGGTTGTTTTTAATAATTATGCTACATATTTAAATTATTCATATGATATATAGTAATGATCATCACAAGAAAGACACAGTTGCCGTAACATAGTTTAGTTTTGAGAGAGATCCAGATTTTGAAAATTGTCTATTTTAGGGCTCATTTTAAGAGTAGTTAAATCGCAATCCTATACACAGTTACTGAGTTATTGACTTGCCTAAAAATTAATAGCATTAAATAGCCCCTATTCTTATTATCATTCCAAATGTGTCTAGGATGTGGGATAATTTTTATATGCTCAGATTTGTTGGCCACACTTTTGGCAATATACATTGATCCCAGTTTTCAAAGGAAGGAAAAATAAAATTCTTTAACCACAATTTTGACATAAAATTAAACAACCCCAAAATGAGCAGATCACTATAGTCTGTAGGGTTTTGTACTGTTAATGAGACTTTGCTTGGAGGACAATGTGTTTGAGAGTGTCTTGTTTAGATTTGCCTTTGTGTAGGACCATGACCTTCAGAGTGAATAGGTTGGGGAGCAGAATCTCATTTGATCCCGAGATGACAGTCTTTGAGAAAAACAAAAACAAAACCTGGGCACAATTCACCATATAGCTGACTTAAGCAGGCTCCACTGAAATAGGAACCAAATTATCTGCACAACTTTACTAGCTTTAATGGAACATGTAGAAAACCATGTCTTGATGGAGTCTGTCCATGTTAATGTTTATCTTAGATAAAATGTGTATAAAGCTGCAAACACAGCAAGAGGCTTGAAGCAGACTCATTGTGCTCAAAGGATGTAAAAAGTAGTAGACAAATGCTGAGGAAGTTGGATGGAAAAAGAACAACTGGAAACAATTATGGGTGGTTATTTACAACAGACATTGTGAGATAGATATGATGCTAAAAAGGCACAGCTTTCCCTTTCTTAAATACACTGTAAACGGTTCATTATGCATGCAGAACAATTCACTTTACAAAAAAGAAAAAGAAAAAAAAAACCTTGTGTTTAGACAAAAATGAGTAATTAAATAGTCTCCAGCAAAATAGAATTCTTCCAAAAATACTTTCCCATTCATCCTATTAACCATTAAAGATTTTAGGTCTCATTTACAAAAGTTCCTTATACCATTTGTTTCAGGTCCTTCAATTTATACATACAGCATTGTACAGTACAGCAAAAGACTGCAAAAAATTATTGGTAAAGCCAGCACAATATACTATAAATTGAAACTGAGGCATTTGTTTTAACATCTTATCCTTTCAAGTTAAATAATAAATGAACACTTAACACAGTGTAGATCATCTATGATGGATAACATGGGATAACAAATGCCGCAAGTGAATATACCAAGATTATTCCACACCAAAATGTTCCATTATCTATGTTACATATCCAGGAATTTGATTTGTTTTTACGTATGTGTGTGTGTTTGTGTATAGTACAAGAATTAATGCCCCATATTGACTTTATTTATGTGCAAACCAATGGTAAGCTTTTTAAAAGTTCATAATAGTTCTTAAACCCTTTTAAAACAAGCAAACAATACCAGAAACTACATGACATAATTAAAATGTTCTTCTGTTAATATATCAAAATCAAGGAGTTATTTGACTAGATATGGCTTTTCATCCAGAGGAACAGGAATATTTCTTTTCTTTCTTTTCTTTTTTTTTTTTTAATGCTGGGAGTATTTGGGGTGGTCTGGTGTTCATAAACATCTTGGCTATTTTGTCTTACCAAGTTCATATAAGATGCTTGTTTTCCATTCTCCAAACCTTCATATTGTCTTTAGACTACTGAGACACTGTTGAACGATTTTGAATAGCACACTTTAAATGTGGCTTCTTGGCTCCTTCATGGGTGTGGAATAGCGCAGGGGAACTTAAGGCAAAGTTTTCTTTTTTTCCATTAAGACATGTTCTGTCACTTCCTGTGGAAGTAGAGGGGTTTGGCATTCCCAGATTCCACTTTGGGTAACTGGTCACTGATGATTTCTACCAACATGGCTGGAAACTCCACTTTGAGAGCTTGAGACTCTCGGAAGGTGTAGAAGCAAAATTCCAGCAAATCGCTAACAAGCTGAAATGGAATGGAAGAAAAAAAAGTCAGGAATGGTGAGCATTAAAGGATGTTGAAAATAGTTTGTAATACTGAACAAGCAATGTAGTACAGTAGTACAAAAGATGAAACTTTACGGCTGTGCAAAGGCTTTGAAAAAAGATGTGGTGAAACACCTGAAAGCACATCGGAGGCACCTTTCTTTGAACCCTGAAGTCTGTTCTTTTTCCAGAATTGCATATTTGTTAGAAGGCTGCTTGTGAATCTTTATACCTGCATGAATTTGCACAGCATTCTCACGTGTGAAAACAACCAAAAGCAGTTTTCGAAGCAGCAACACAAACCTTGACAAAAACCAGCTATTTTAATGATTTGAAAATGGCTGCTTTGTATTTGCTCCAGCCTTTTGCGACCCACCTCTTTTAAAGCCTTGTAATGTTATTTTCAAAATCTCTGTAAAAAGTAGCTGTGAACTGAAACAAATTACTTCTGCTTCAGTTTCACTGAAAGAAACTAGCATATAATTTACTCTGGTTTGTAACAAACATCTTGGTTTTTCAATCATGAACTGGAAGTCGAGCAGAAGGAGAAAATGGAATTCTTTAAACAGAGTGTTGGTGCCACTTTACAAACACTATTTTTCTTCCTAAATAAAAATGACAAATTTTGCCACATCCATTTTCCTTCCGAGTGTGCACTTTTCATGTACAAAGTAAATGACATAAACCTGTGAAACTGCCTCAAATTATCCTAAGGTTATACTATTTACTTATAGACTCATTTTTTATACAAACATTGAAGGCAAGATTTAGAAAACTGATTAAACTACATCTAGTTTACAACCATTTCCTTTATTCTCAGGAGCTTCTGTTTGTTCTAAATAATGTTTCTCTTTCATTGGCCTTTTACTAATTGAATCACACAAAAAGTACCGTAATAGAAAATCCATGAAAAATACACACAGTACTATAAGCTGTTCTAAATTATGTACACTTTGCTAACAATACTGAGCATGCCTCATTTCCATTAGTTTTATCTCCTATAACCTTGTTACAACATTTAGAAAATAAGTTTGAACTTTCAGTCAGATGTGCAGGGCTCCCCAAGGCTTTTTTGGATCATGGGCACAGTTGGAATTGCCATCCTCATCATCAAATTGCTGCTAGGAAGGAGGTGTACCCACATACTAAATGAACTTTTGTGTTGGTTAGTCACAAAGCACCTATTTTAGTTAGGCGGAGAGAATTCCTAAAGCCAGAAGCACCAAAAATAAAACTGATTTTTGAACCATCAAACTCTGGATCCCTCAGTTTATTTCTTTGTATTAACCCAGATTCCTGGCTTCCTTTAAAGCTGCATTGCCATACATTCTTCTGCAAACTTATATTTTTTTCTATCTTGGACATATAATATTTTCCCTATTGCTAGATTTTATTACACAAATTTATCTCTCCAAGGTGCTTTGCTATAACTACTTGATTCAAGGCCGAATTTCTGGTGATGAAAGAAGACCAGCATAGAAGCAACTTATGGAAAAAGAAAAAAAAAATAAGGAAAGAAGGTGAAAGGAATGTTAAAAAAAAATAAGGAGGGTGCCAAAAAAATAGAAATGTGCCATGAAAAGAATGGATGCTGGGCACATGGAAGACAACATTTGTGAAGGAAGAAATAAGAAGGATCATGCAAACAGACAGCACATATTCTGTTTGTACAAGAGTCTAACTGAGTTGTGGGCAAAATTGATGTACTGTATGCAGTTAAAAATGTTTTTAACTCAAATCAGTTCCAGACAGCCATGTCATGCTAACACGAAAAAAAAAAAAGTTAATAGATGGTTGACCATTTTTTTCCCCTTGGTCCTGGCAAAGAAAAGCAAAACAGCTGCTTTGGTCATTCTAATTACCCTGCTTCCAATCCAGGCAATTGAAGATTGTAGTAAAACAAATAACAAGAAGATGGAGGCATACATCATATCTCCATTTACTGTCTCTTTCTTGATCAACTACAAGAAGCAAGTACACCAACTTCAGACAGCATAAACCTTTGAATTTAATGGACGCGGTCAAAAATCTGATATTATGATCTGAGATTAGAATCCAATCTCTGGCTACAGAGAAAGATGTCCAGTGAATTCTGTCACTCAGGGATGCTGCCTTAGGAGCTATGGATTGTGTTCCAAATATAGCAGAATAGTTATATATACTTACTGTAACGAATTCGTTAATGGCACTGACTTCCAGGTTTATAATGATTAGTTATAATTATGTAACTTTCATTACAAGGAATGAAGGATCATTCAGAAGGTAGCAGCATAGAAAATTTATTCAAGCCTATTCTATACTATACACAAGTATTTGGTCAACACTAAATTGATACCCAGTAAATGTCAATGGAATTCAGGAGCGATTGGACTTGAGCTCTTGTATGAATGCAAGAACTCTAAACTGATGGTGCACTTAAGTCCCCCTCCCCAGCTCTGCCTGCTCTTCTTCTAACATAACTTTATATTTTAGAGATAAGTTTCCATATATTTCACAATTTATTATTTAATTAGAAATTTGTGAAAAATTGTTGGAATTATTTGTGTTTTGAAAGGCTAGCTTTTTTATTTTAAAAAATACAATTCCTTCCTAATCATTTTTATAACTATTGAAAATCCCACAATGATATAACTACATTTCTCCAAGAGGGCAAACTCAACCTAGCTGGCCTGAAAAGTAATTGTTGAAATCTCTGTCTCCACTTCTCACAGAGTAGTGAATTATTATCACCATCTGACCTATTTTGTGAAAGGGAAATAAGCTTCTCACAGCAATATGTATTCAAATCACATAATGCTTCTAATAGCACCTTATTAAAATTTTATTTCTTTATTTAACTAAGAACGTACTACCGTCTGAATTTAATTTTTGTTTTTATCAGCTAGTTTTTTTGTAAAAAAGTGAGATTTTTAAAAAACTGAGGGATCAAGAAGGAATTCGCAGAATATGAATAATTTTTCCAATTCTCTATCAACATAAATGATAATTAGTTTAACTGAATTGCATAACAGTAACAATGGTTTTGATTATTTGCAGTAATCCAACAAGCTTAAAGTTAAATAGTAATTATTGTAATGGTTTATCTTGTCATTAATTTCTTTTTAAAAGGTCATACTTATGAGGAAATCATATTAGGCTTGATAGCTAAATTCTGCTTTCTAAATCAGGGATCATACCTTAAAGATAAGAGGCTAGGGAAAAAGTTGCTATGAAAGAGAGTTATGACATTTTGTCTGCTTGTGAGTTTTCTGAATGGCTATTGTGTGACACACAATTTTGTGCAACAAGTAAGACTATTCTTAGTTTCTTATAATCATGAAAGGAATTTGACTGGATTATCTATTCAACTACCCAAAATTATTTTAACGAAGCTCCCTGACAGTTCTGATTCCTAACTTTTGGGCTGGTACACTGCAATTCTAATCCTAACCAAAAGATTGTGATTTTGGGTCTAGAAATTTGGTATTTGATATATATTTGCTAATTTACTAATTTTCATTAGTATTTTAAAGACAAAAATCAGTGCCAGCATATACTAATCAGGCCTCAACCAAACTTTCTCACTGCAACTTTGTTTTTGTTATTCGTGTCTTATTTTGGGAGAGAATCTTCCACAAAAAAATCCCCAAAAAATCAAAACAACTACTCCCCCAACCTATAATCCTTTCTCCTCTGAACAGAAAAAGAAACTAATTCTTTAAAATTTATTTTATTTGTATATCTTTTATGCCAGTTTATTGATACAAACTGTCAACAAAGATATTGAATTTCAAAATTAATTAAGCTTGACTTGCTGTATCATAAAAAATGTAGTAGAGGCTTTCACTGTACCATCATAGTGCCATCTTGGTATGGGGAAGCTTTGCAAGCTTCTACGGTATGTGCAAATGTACAGATATGAAATAGTTCTCCCAAGGTTTTTATAACAGAGTTTCCCAAACTTTCCAGCCTTGGGACCAACGGGGAGGTGGAGAGGGGATGACAAGTGTGAGCGAGCAGCTCCATTTGCACAAGTGGCAGACCTATGTGCAAATGGAACATGCGCACTCATGCTTACCAGCTGCTTGTGCAAGTGAGATGCGTGTGCATGCACACTCGCCACATTCACAGCCCAATTCCGGAGGGCTCAATGCGCAGTAGTGGGCTGCGGCCCGGGGAGTTAGAAACTGCATCAGTTTAAATTTGACTCCATCAGTGATATTACTTTGTATCTGAAGTCAAAGTGTTCAGGGTTTTTTTATTTTTTTAGAAAATAGGGTGTCTATATATAAATGTGCTGGTGTTTTACAATTTTAATCAGCCTACCTTTTTTTTTCAGGATCTTTTTCCTTAGCTTGGCATTTTTTGGCATTCACATATGTTTCCCATGAGAAGAACACCAACTAAAATAACTAATGTAAAATTTTCCTGTTGTTGTTACTGCCTAAATTACAAATTATTTTAATACAAATTATTATTATTATTATTATTATTATTATTATTATTATTATTATTATTAATACTTTGCTATTGTATTTAAAGTAGCTCAGTTCCTTCTCTGCACAATTTAGTCACCAAGGGCATTTTTTTTGTACATGACCTTTGGATTATTCTACTCAGTTTATTAAATGATGTGATTGTAGGGAACCACTGGAGGCACTATAATAACATATTACTTTTTGAAATATGTATCTTAAACCAAATTGATAGAAAAGGATTTTATATAATTTTCTCAAAGATATTTCCAATCTCAGAAGACCAGTCTTCTCGTTTTCAAAATTATTCTGTAACACAAGTATTTTGAAGAGGTGAAACTTTCAATCAGTGATTTTTCTATCTCCAAGTTGAGATGAGGTAGAATGTTTGCTTATTTGCCTTATTAAATCAATTGATATAGCCACCTCTCATACAAACAAGTGACTAGGCCGTGTTCAACATAGCTAAAACAGTTAAGAAACACATTAAAAACTATAAAACTAAGCTAAAACTCTTTTGTTATATAACCAGAGTAATGTTGAAAATGAGAAAAGTGACCTTCTGAGATTGGAAAGATAGATAGATAGATAGATAGATAGATAGATAGATAGATAGATAGATAGATAGATAGAGATAGATAGATAGATAGATAGATAGATAGATATAGATAGATAGATAGATAGATAGATGATAGATAGAATAATAAGCCCTTTTGTTATAAATATATTTAAATAGGGTATTACCACAAAGGAAACTACTTGTAAGGGCATTATCTACTCATTCCAAGGAGTTACAGTAATACACCTACAGGAGCTATGATTTTTTCCTAGAGCAGTGATGGCGAACCTTTTAGCCACTGAGTGCCCAAACTGCGTCCGCACGTGACCAAACTGAAAAGTGCACATGCTTGAACACGTGTGTGTGCGGACATGTCTGCATGCACAGCAGAGACCCAAAGATCAGCTGGCTGGCGGAAGGCAGAGCATCCCAACACCGGCAACGTGGCAAGAGGTAAGACCTTTTTCTTTTGTGAGCTTCTGTTTCATCGTTTGCAGGGAAACAGAAGTTCACGAAAGAAATGCCACGGAAATCTGACCTGGGTCGACAACGTGTGTGTGAGCAGAGGGCGCCCTGTGTGCCACCTCTGGCACGCATGCCATAGTTTCACCATCATGGTCCTAGAGGCTTCTTAAAACCAGTCCAAATATGCATAAAAATGGAAATATTCTAATTACTAAAGTACATGACAATGTATTATTGACATGGATTATAATATTAAACATGATGCACATCCATACATCACCCCAAGTCTCAACCAGCCTCCTACAGAATCTATGTTTATATATATTTGGATAGATTGAATTAAACAAAGCATTAATTGAAAACAGTGAATCTGAAATCCTATTAGGTTTAATCCAAAAATGCTAATCTGGTTTGCAGAGCAAGATAATGTTGAACCACCACAACAAAAAGCAACGATTTCCCTCCTCAAAGCAAATGCAACTCTCTAAAGAATGAGCTGTTACTGCAGTACTAATAATACTTTTAACTCCCACCAAGATTTTTCAGTGTTTTAATTAACAGCACATTACTCAACAAATAATTCCATATGTATGTTCTGTAAACAAACCTCAGGCTTTCATACAGATCTGACCTGAAATGCACCATACTGTATTGCATCTTCATAAATAAGCCAGTTAAATACAAAGAGGCGTATTTATATGCAACCTCTCGCACAACAAGGCCAAAGTTTCTGAGTGGTATATTAAAAGTGTATTTCACTGCATCTAAGCTAGTAAGAATGGAACAGAGATTTTCTATATTTTTTTACTGAGAGATTTTAATAGCTTTTAAAAGATATTTGCAAATATCATCACATAACTGGCAGTTCAACAAAAGTGCTAAATAGTAACTCCTATTGGAAAATTAAAAAAACATAATTTAAATGATTTTAGTATTATAGTCATGTGGCAGACTCATTATGTTCAAAGCTGTTTATAAAACCTTGGAACACTGAAGACGCTGTTTCACAAGTTACTACACTCAGCAAAGACTCTAAAAAGATTATGGTGTACAGAAACAAACATAGATTCTATATTAAGAAAATCAATGGGCAACTTGTTTCAGTACATGCCACGCTTTTTTAAGAATTTAGAAACATGTCACATTTTAATGAAATTCTAAACAAAGGACTTCAACTGATTTTCAGTGACTTGTAAGGTTAATTCTGAGAATGCGTTTGTGAATTGTCCTCATCCACACACCCATGAGAGACTGCCTGACAGCATCCAATGACCCAAAGTAATTTTCTGTATTTTTGGCTGTAGAACTTTAATCTTGAGACTTATTTACTCTCCTGTTTTCCTTGTAGATCAGAAACAGAAGTGAAATAACTAATATGGTTGAAATCCAAAACTTATTTTCTATCTTCCATAATGTTTAGTAAGGGAAATGGGAGCATTCTTTGTTTTGATTGGTAACTATATATTCTTCCTTCACTTTATTGGTTATTGCCAAAAAACCTAGTGAAACAGAGGTAGAGAAAAGAGATTTGAAAATATTATGCTTTGCTAATTTTTTCCATAACAAAGATTTTGCCATATAATGCACAGGTACGGTATATGTGGTACCTTGCTCAACAATGGTGATTGTGAGAGGGATCTTGGAGTCCTAGTGGACAATCACTTAAATATGAGCCAGCAGTGTGCTGCAGTGCCAAAAAAGCCAACACAGTTCTAGGCTGCATAAACAGAGGGATAGAATCAAGATCACATGAAGTGTTAATATCACTTTATAATGCCTTGGTAAGGCCACACTTGAAATATTACCAAATATACCAAATATTTGGTCGCCATGATGTAAAAAAGATGTTGAGACTCTAGAAAGAGTGCAGAGAAGAGCAACAAAGATGATTAGGCGACTCGAGGAAAAAACATATGAAGAACAGCTGCAGGAACTGGGTATGTCTAGTTTAATGAAGAGAAGGACTAGGGGAGACATGATAGCAGTGTTCCAATATCTCAGGGGTTTCCACAAAGAAGAGGGAGTCAAATTATTCTCCAAAGCACCTGAGGGTAGAACAAGAAGCAATGGGTGGAAACTAATCAAGGAGAGAAGCAACTTAGCACTAAGCAGAAATTTCCTGACAGTAAGAACAATTAATCAGTGGAACAACTTGCCTCCAGAAGTTGTGAATGCTCCAACACTGGAAGTTTTTAAGAAGAGACTGGATAACCATTTGTCTGAAGTGGTGTAGGGTTTCCTGCCTAAGCAGGGGGTTGAACTAGAAGACCTCCAAGGTCCTTTCCAACTCTGTTATTCTATTCTATTCTGCCAATGAAGCTATTACTGTGGTACTAACTTCATATAACATCGGTTAGTATCGTGATACCTTTTCTACTTACATCATGAATAGAGTCCAGGAGCTTTGTCAGTTGATAAAATCGCTGCCAACTTTGCCCAGAATTGTTTGGATGTTTAGTTACCATTTTTCTAAGTTCTTTAATGTAATTTGCCCTCATTTCTTCAAACGCAGCTTGGCTCTTGAGGCCATCCTTGGGAACTACAACAAAAGAAAGTAAAATGTGCATTATTCAACCTTTTGTCAAATGTAGAAGAAAACTTGATTGTTGCAAGTAAGGCCAATTCTTAATGATCGGACTCAAAATTTGGTATAATGCAGTTTCCATATTTCTTGTGCATTTTATAGGTTGGTAACTGAATAAGCCCGTGATGGTGAACCTATGGCCCGTAGCCATATCGGCTCAGCTCCGGTACACACGTGTGCGCCGGCCAACTGATTTTCAGGCTTCCTTGTCCCACCAGAAGTAGGGAAACAGGCGGTTTCCTTCCTCCGGAGGGCCTCGGGGGGGGGGGGGGGGGGGGAGGGCCCTTTTTTCTCTCTCCCCAGGCTCCAGAACCTTTCTAGGTGGGACCGGAAGTTGGCAAACAGGACGTTTCCAGTCTCCAGAGGGCCTCGGAGTGGGGAAGGCCATTTTTCCCCTACCCAGATTCCTAGAAAGGCTCTGGAGCCTCGGGAGAGAGAAAAACGAGCCTATTGGGCCATTGTGTGCCAGGAGCAAGGAGAGTGTGTGTGGGGGGGGGGGGGTCGTGCGCGCATCCCCGAGTCAGGGCGCATAGAATTAAGGGTGTGGGCATGCACACGTGTGACCCCCCTGCACTCCCCCCGCTTCTGGCACATGATGGCAAAAAGGTTAGCCATCACTGATATAAGCTCTTTAATTTGTGCAAACAATTTTTTTAAACTTAAACACGAGTCTCAGCCAACATCCAAAATCAATTTTGAAACAATACAGGTTAAATTGAATATTTTATTTGACCAAGTTTGATGAGACACACAAGGAATGTTTTCTCTGGTGCAGAAGCTCTCAGTGCACATGCTAAGCAACAGAATAATGATGATAATAATAATAATAGTAATATCATTAAGAGGGGGAGTAAAAATGATAAGAAGAAGGGTAAATATGTGGAAATGAGTACCTAGTACAGGATTTGGTAATGATATCAGAAACTACTTAATACAAAGTATTAAGAAGTATAATAACAGTATATTATTGAGAATAATATTCTGAAACCAAGATTTCATATATTTTTTGTGTGAACCTCAGTAGTATAAAAACTCTAAAAATCAATCATCCTTTTGGTGAATTTACAAAAGATAGTTTGGAACTAGGAAAAGTAGAATGATGGAGAAGATACGTTCTTGCTTGATCCAAAATAGCTTATCTTATATAAAAAGCCAATTGCAATGTTCTTAAAGTTAGACAGGCAATCTAGAATCACCCAGGATATTTTTAGATTACTTCCAGTTTCATGAGGACAATCACTGAGATTGTCTCCATGGTGTTATTAGAGACTTCCAAACAAACCCTCATATGAATTTTATATGAGCTTATCAATACTGTGCAACATAACTTCAATAAAAGAATATATTTTTCTGATGTTCAATTACACAAACTACTTCCCTCCTGTAAACCTGGATTCTTATTTCTAATTCAACATTCTTCTATCATTATCAGCTTCAAACAAAACTCCATATATAGATGGTGCTACAGTTTCATATAATTTGCAACTTCACTGAATTCATTCATCATGTTAAAATGATCTAAAGCAGGGTGTCAAACTCGCATCATCACGGTGGTGTCATGTGATGTATCAGGACTCCCCCCCCTTCACTAAACCGGGCGTAGCCAGCGCATGACGCATCTGGCCCCGCGGGCCATGAGTTTGACAGCCCTGATCTAAAGAGAGAAAACTAGTATGAAAAAAATAAGCAAATATTATAGCATGGGAGTTTTACTTTTGTTCACTACTTAGTGCTGGAGTGTGACATCTAAAAACCCATACCCTTTCTCATTTTTAATTCCAAATTATGAATACCCCCCGTGTTTGTTTGTTTATTTTTAAAGAAAAGCTGAATTTTTAAAATAGTATTCTACAATGATAATGACATTAAAAGAGAGATTCAGAAGCTCAACAGCTGTTCCAAAAGAGCAATAATGTTCTAAATGTTTATCTAAATAATTTAGCATCTGGAGGCAAGCAAATAGCTGGTTGGGGACCTGTTGTTAGATCATTTCAGTTTTGGAGAGGATGCTAATGGTGGTAAATGGCACTTTATACATTTAACAGGAATCTATATGGACCAATCTTTGGGAAGGGGAGGAGAGAATAGAAGTAACAGCTTCCACTGATACTTTTCTGAAGGAAAGGGTAGGGTATATATAAGGAAACACTTTTGTATTTACAAGCATTCTATAGATCTTGATGAGGGTATGAACTTGCTTTTGTATAAGTCCCTAGGCAAGAATAACAGGATTCTTGCCTTTTTAATGAGTCTAGGTTCTGATTTCTGTTTATTCTACTATTCTGCTGTCGCAATTGATTTTGGACAATGGGAATAATTTAATTATAGAAGATGCAGGAAGGCAACTTGCTCCTATGTAGTCTCTGAGATCAACGTTGCTTCCAGCAATGGTTCCACCATTTTTGATGTGTTAGTAAGGAGAGCTGTACAATTAATTACCTTGTTCTCTATCAACCTCACAAAAAGTCATAAAAAAGTTGGGCTATCATATCATTCCCTGGCCTTTTGTCTCTTTTTTGCTCAACCAAGTGTTCTTGCTCTCCAATATATTTTAACTAAGTTGTCATTCTTTTACTGTTGACCTATAGAATGCATTGAAATTTCGCTACTACACTATTCATCATTTTATTTCATTACTCAAAATGGTTTTCATGAAAAAATTGGTTTGTATATATATAATATAATATAGGTCTTTGGTTATTCGGGTTCTCTCCCGTGTAAAATTGGAGGTTTCTTGGCAACGTTTCGACGAAGTCTCATTCGTCATCTTCAGGCTGGTGTTCTGGCTTTGTGCTTCTAGGAGCAATGTGTGTGATCGCAGCTGTTTCTTCCTTTTAACTGCCAGTGGGGGTGTGAACATTGCTCCTAGAAGCACGAAAGCCGAGAACACCAGCCTGAAGATGACGAATGAGACTTCGTCGAAACGTTGCCAAGAAACCTCCAATTTTACGCGGGAGAAAACCCGAATAACTAAAGACCTACATACAAACACCCGCGAAAACCTCAGAAAACATACATATATATATATATGTCTATATATATATAGACATATATATATATATATGTATATGTTAGTGGGGGCTCACACCCCCACTAGCAGTTAAAAGGAAGAGACAGCTGCGATCTCACATTGCTCCTGGAAGCACGAAGCCAAGAACACCAGCCTGAAGATGACGAATGAGACTTCGTCGAAACGTCGCCAAGACACTTCCAATTTTACGTGGGAGAAGACCTGAATAACCAAAGACCTACATACAAACACCCGCGAAAACCTGAGAAAACTATATATATATATATATATATATATATATATATATATATATATATATGTATGCACATATATATGATACACACACACAATTAAAGTTCAAACCATTTGTACACACACACAAACAAAACTGCATCAAATTCTGTGCTTTTTAAAAATCAAATGGATCTACTGAATATTCCAAATGGTATCATACTTCAGTAATATATCTCTAATTATTTCACTATTTATATATAACCAACTAAATGTGATTAAAGAAGGATATTTTCCCCCTTTCTACTTGTCCATTGATGGTTCAGTCAGCAGAGAGATACATATAAGTTTTAGGTTTAAACAATCGGACATTAAATATACAACTCATTTTATAAATATGTCTATTTTCTTTATACAATTTAGATAAAATTGGCACAAAATAAGAGTGGAATGATATTGTGTATATTTTTCTAAAGACAAATCTGTAAATTATTACACTAGCAGCCACAGAATTAAATATGTAAAAACTGATAATCAGAAACACAATCGAAAGTCTACATTTTGGGATGTAAGCCCACTGGCTTCTCATTTTGATCATTAAATTTGGCATTTAGCTATCTTTCCTTTTCTGTAGGCTGGAAAAAAACAAAAAACAAAAAATGATTGAGATATAATGAGTGGTTTCTTCTATGCTAATTGAAAGAAGTTTCCTTCCTGTGGCTACTATTCAAGTTTTTAAACAGTTTCCAGAATCTGGTCACATGATTAAACAACAACCAATTAAAACAAGCAGTTGTTAAGAAAATAAAGTGATCATAAGTTCAAATCATATGGTCATTAAGCAAATTACAGAGTTGTAAGTGCAAACTCACTCTCCCAAATTTCAAGATCCATCTCACCCTGGGCACCCCTTTTTTTTTTTTGAACTATTACCATCTGGCAAACGGTACAGGACAATAAAAACAAGAACAAGTAGGCTGAAAAACAGTTTCTACCCAGAGCATTAATTATATTGAATTTTACTGTATGGTGTAATATTAATGCAATATCAGGCATTTTCACTTCAATTGTATAGAACTGTGATGGCAAACCTGTGGCACGCGGAGCCATATTAGTGGGCACGCCAGCTCAGCTCTGGGGCGCATGTACGCGCCGGCCAGCTGATTTTCGGGCCTTCTGGGCCCACCAGAAGTAGGGAAAGAGGCTGTTTCCTGCCTCTGGAGGGCCTGGGGGTAGGGTGGGGAAGGCCTGTTTTTCTTTCTTACCTGGCTCCAGATCCTCTCTATGCATCTGGGAAGGGCGAAAACAGCCTTTCCCACTCCCTTGGAGGCCCTACGGAGGCTGAAAGGGCCCATTTCCCGACTCCCGGCGGGACAGGAAGTGACGTTTTTTCCTGTCCCCAGCCTCCAGAGACTCCTAGAAAGGCTCCTAGAAACTCCTAGAGAGGCTCCAAGAGACTCCTAGAGAAGTTCTGGAGGCTGGGAACAGCAAAAAATGTCACTTCCTGTCCCACCAAGAGTTGGGAAATGTGCCCTTTCAGCCTCCGTAGGGCCTCCAAGGCAGTGGGAAATGCTTTTTTGCCCTTCCCAGATGCATAGAGAGGATCTGGAACCAGGTAAGAAAGAAAAATCGGGCGTACCAGGCTATCATGTGCCAAGAGCGGGGGTGGGTGGGGTTGCGTGTGCATGCGCGTGGGCATGTGCGCGCGCAACCTTCCCCCGCCCCCCCTCTCCTGGCACGCGATGGCAAAAAGGTTAGCCATCACTGGTATAGAATGTGAAGGACATGTGTTTTTCTTTTATTTTTTATGTATAATGTACACTAAAGATGGCATTTAATTTCATCGTACAAGGTGCAATGACAATAAAGTAAACTTTAAAAGCAAAAAATGCTGCAAATTGGCAAATCATAGTCACAAGGACCATAGGCTGCTGCAACTGTCATAAATGTCAGCCAGTTGCCAAATATCAAATATGTGGTCATGTGGCTGAGTGGGGTGCTTATGCAACATTTTATCAGGGCCTGAAGGACTTTACTAGCCATTAACCACTCCTTCTGAGGCCAGTGCAACTCTGAACAGATTAATTTTAATGAATTAAAATGGTCATTGTAAATCAACAACTACCTGTACTGCATGTGGTGTACATGTAAAACAATTTAAGATTACTGAAAATACACAGTATTATTCAGATATTATATGTGCAATTAAACCATATTTACTCTTACTAGGTATAATTCCTATACATATTAAGAAACTATCACAAAATACCCACAGTTTACTAAAATACTCATCCACAAGGATGCAAGGAAAGACCTACCACAACACTGGAAAAATTATATGTTACCAATGATAGCAGACTGGAAACTAAAAGTATAAATATGCAGTACTGGAAAAATTAACAACATATATTCTGAAGCTTAACTGAAGTTCAAGCAAATATAAGCAAGAATTGTAAGCTTCCTTGCATACTATGTAGAGGCAAATATAAATATGTTTTTATGGCGTTTTTAAAAAATTAAAAGCAGAAATGACAAAATGTTTTAAATGTGCATACATTTTGTATGTCAGTATGAGTACAGCATAGGGCAGTTAGGAAATTAAGATTTATTTATATTATTTTAAAATACTTCCTCCCTTCCTTTCTTCCTTTCTTTCAAAATTTAGGGACTCAAATCCTTTCCACTTTCTTTTTTGACTTGGTCATTCATTATTTTTTCCTTTAGTTTAAAGCAGTATTTTTTGGATAAAATTAAGAATTGGCTTTATTAAGCTTCCTTTCCTTACCTCCTGTCTGCCCTATATCAATTTAGCTCTGGAAGTAATTTACTTCAGGTTATAGTTTCAGTGAAAGAATCAGATCTTAATATTTTGCTAAACTTTCAATGTTGACACCAAGTATGTTAAACACAATCTATGATAAGAGTTTCTGTCCTATAAATACTGTGTATAACTTAGAACACCAATTATAAGGAATAAATATTATAATACAATATATAATCAAACTATAATGCATTATTTTTCAGTTTTGACAGCTTTAAGATGGGTGAACTTCAAATCCCAGAATTTCCCAGCTGGCATTACACTGGAGAATCTTGGGAGTTGAAGTCCACCCATCTTAAAGCTGCCAAGGTTGAGAAGCACTGCTATAAGGAGTAGTAGAACAGATTTATTTGTATACCTCCTTTATTATTTTTATGAACAATTCAAGTCCATGGACATTTTCAGCACACCTTCGTCCTCCTATTTTCTTCACAATAATAACCCCATGAGGTGGGCTGGGTTGAGAGAGAGAATTAATGGCCCAAAGTGACCCAGTTGGTTTTCATGGCTAAGATAGAACCAGCATATCAGGACATTCTAAAGAGTAAATTTTAACTACGTACATTATTCATGCACAACCCTGATAAAAATCATATTGTAAACAATTGTTAAACAAATAAGATTTTTTACTAGTTTGTATGGCACATATAATATTCCTTGCAATTTTACCCAAACAGTTTCAATGTGCATTAGATTACTAAGTGGACCAAATCACACCACAAACCTGATAGATAAGTGGAGGTATACTGAAGCCTGCTGTTATCAATCATCTTCTAATATTTGGGTGGGACATTATGAAGATCATATAGGTGAAGATTTTCTTTAATTTGAGAAATCCACATTATATGTTGGAGTGCATAACAGGAATTGTGAGAGGATATTTTACAGATTCTTTAAATATGGCTGACACGGTAATTATGATTACTTACATTGTGTCCATAAGCAGAAAGTAAACTATTCTTCACTCATATTTATATATGTAATATGCATGTAATATATATGTGTGTGTGTGTGTGTGTGTGTCCGTGTGTGTGTGTATAGTTCTAGTATATATGCAAACTTCCAAACAAAATACTGGATTGCAACTTCTCAGTTGTGTTTTGAATCTCACAGGCATTTCTAGAAACAGCTATAATGCTAGACTTTACTTTGAAGCATGCAGGACTTCGTTTTATAAATCAAGCAAATTAATCTTAAAGAAATGCAAATTATCATGCCATGAAGAGAAACTGGGCATGTGCCATGTTGAATTCAGCTTTTAATACACTTAGGGTTTTAAAGGTAAAAACAAAAACAGATTTATGCTGTACAGAAGAGTTAATACCATCTTACTGTGGGCTGCAAATTATAATAGGATTTGGTAGATCTCAGTACTGAAGCTAGAATGTCTGTTCTCAATTACTAGCCCCTTTTAGGAGCCTACGAACTATAGTTTGAACTAACTTCAAAGCTATCACACAATGCATTAAAGTAATCAATCCTGATTTTCAAAAAATGCTATAGATGTTAAGCCTAAAACACTGAAGAGCCTTCCGGTTCTTAAAATCAAAATTCTCTTCTTTTCTTTTTTAATTTATTGGATACTGATTAGTCCGTTATTACAATATTATACAATATTATAGTATTTAAAAATTATGACTGGAATCATCAAGAAAATCACCTGTGCTTAACAGCAACAAAACTTTCATTATGGTATATTCTTCAAAGCTAAGCTGCAGACGAACAAATTGAAGGCTGATCTGGTGCATTCCTTGGCATAATTCAAACATTGCAGATTGCCGCATCCTTTCTCTGTAAAAGACAAGACACGGGTAAAATAAAGATATGCTGAAGTTTTCAAATGTTTTATTGTTTAATGTTTTGTATTGTGTTTTTGATATGCCCTTTAGTGCATAGAATTGTTATACAGTGAAATGGATGACCATGTACATCAAAATTAATGATTTATTCTAATTAAGATAAAAATAATTTATGCTGTTGTCATCATTAGGAAAAGAAGATAGACTTTTCCCTCAAGGATCGTTTTCATCTCATTAATAATTGTATAGACTACACTCAGATAACATGATAAAACACTGACTGAAGTATGATCCTGTCAAAATTAATACCTCATAAGTGTCAATGGATACTCTTTAGACTAGAGAGAAGCATGCAAAAGCTTTTCTCGTGAAGGTGGCTAAATATTTGGCGGGCTGCTTAAGTGACTCAGAAACATTTTGAATGAAAATGTTCTTTTCAATCTAGTTCAATACAGATTTAAGCCCAGGTTTGGAATAGCGAATGCTTTGGGTACTCTATGGGAATTTTTTTTTATCAAAAAGAGAGAGTGGAGAATCATTTGGATCTACAGTATGTTCTGAATAAAGGAATTATTTCACACTGCTTCTATCCAAATATGATTGGCCATTGGTTGGTTTAGGAAGATTAGAGTCCTGTTTGTAAACAGCCTAAGAAGTACAGTACGAGATTCATCTAACATTTTTATTTTATATTTTCTCAAAACCACTATAAAGAGTTTTAGGAGGGTGCAAACTGAAGTTCATGTAATGATAACAGCCGGTTTTACCTTCCCTTTTCAAGAAATCAGGCTGAGATATTGGATGTCTTCAACTGACTATATAACAACTAGGTGAGATAATAGAATTCAGAAAACAACTAAACAAACATAATAAGTAGAAAACAAAATAATAAATCCTACAAATATGATAGGGCCCCAGAAGTGCATCAATGAACACATTAACTCCAAGCTCTGGAACAGAGCCAAGTCTTAAAAGAGCTTTTCAGAATCCCAGGAGAAAGGGCACTCTTTTAATCTCTGGGGCAATGCTCCGAGGCAGCAATGGAAAAGACACTTTTCTAAGGCCCTGCAAAATGACAATGTTTCATAGAAAGGACCTTGACTGCACTTGCTCTGCCAGGACATACAAGCAGGCAGAAGAACAACAACAGATCAACTATCCTACAGATAATCAGGCCCTGTGTCATGAAGGGCTTAGCAGGTTATGACCAGCTCCTTGAATTGCACCCAGATGCCCACTGGCAACCCATGCTGCTCACATAGCAGTGACACATGGGTATAACATGTAGCGCCTATTATTGCTTATGCTGCTGCATTTTGTAATTGTAGCTTTCAGATAATCTTCAAGGAAAGTTCTCTGTAGATCACATTGCTATAGTCCAATCAAAAGGTGATCAGATTGTGAGTGACCATCTGAAGGACCTCTCAGTTGAAGAAAGCAGCAACTCGTACACAAGATGAACCTGTGTAAATCCTCCTGGCCACAGTTGTGAGTCCAGAGATCTCTCAATTTGTGGACCAGTCTTAAATGGGAAGGTGCACCACCATCCAAGATCATATACCTGATCTGGGGAGAGGGGAACAACTAAAGACACTCAGTCTTATTAGGACTGAGTCAAAGTCTATTTCTCCCAATACCTGAACAATCTCCAGGCATCAGATTAATACATTGACAGCTTCACCTGTCAACCGCAAGTTGAGATATGGAGCTAATATCAGAACACTGAACAAACAGATAAAGTCATTCAACTTTAACCAAAGACAAATTCCTTGTGTGTCAAATCACTTGGCCAATAAAGAATTCAGTTCAGTTCAGTTCAGTTCAGTTCAGTTCAGTTCAGTTCAGTTCAGTTCTGTTCTGTTCTGTTCTGTTCTGTTCTGTTCTGTTCTATTTCTATTCTATTCTATTCTATTCTATTCTATTCTATTCTATTCTATTCTATTCTATTCTATTCTATTCTATTCTGTTTCATATCAAACAAGAAAGGGGAGAGTGTTGAATCCTGAAGGGCTATATAGACAGACTATGGGCATGCCCTCCTCTTCTCTACCCATATAAAATTTAATATTAAGTTCATTTTTCTAACTAGAATTAAGGCTTACATATGAACAGAAGATGTCGATAGTAATATAAAGTAAAAGTTAGTATCTCCATAGAGAAGTAATTTTCATCATCAAAAGCAAAGGCAAAACAACAAAATAAAATAAAACAAATCCAAAGGTTGGCCTATGAGTCAAACACGAATTATACCAATTCATTGATTTCTGCACCATCCTAGTACAATGTGAAAACATAAAGGGAAAAGAAATCATACAAGCTATTTATTTAGAAAATTTATATTGCTGCCTACTTGTACATGGAGATTCAAGGCGGCTTACAGGACATAAAAACACAATATAAAAGAAATAAAAATAATAATAAAATAATAGCCCCCATTAACAACATAATTCCTTCCAGAATCAGGTAATGCGTAATTCCTTTGAGATGAGTAAAGATTGAACTTTTCAAGTAGTTAGTAACTTATATGCAAAGGACAGTTGCACATTAATGTCACTGTTGAAATGAAAGTAATTCCTCAATTTCAGCAACTGCCAAATGGGCAGTATTAACATAACCCATTACATACAGTGTAAGGATTGTAACAGCCACTATGAAAGACTGATAGGGCGAATACTAGCAGAAAGGATCCACGGATCAGCAGTCAGGATACATGATAAAACTTTAGTTTCATAGCTCATGGACAGATTCAACCATTGTTTCAACTGGGAAACTGTGAGCATCCTAGACCAAATTAAAACCATAAACACTACCGAATTCCTGGAAGCTTGGCATTCAGACCAATCAGCAATCAACAAATACAGAGATAAATCACATTTACACATCATTCAAAAGAGACAATGAAAAAGTTAAGAAGGAAATAAGACCAGATCCTCACCAGTAAACCACATTGAGTCATGCTAGTATAATGAGTTGCATAGAAATTTGATAAATTAATTAATTAATCTGGAATTAGCACTAGTTAAACAATCAAGCAGAAAATAATATACTAATCAAGGAACTTTCATAGAAAAAGCAACAATCTCACAAATATTGGGAGGGCAAGCTACTGCATATAAACAGGAAGCAAACCCCACATTCACTAGCACTGCTGATATTACCTAGTCAGGTAATGAAATGTTTGCAAGCAAACAGCCAAGTTCAGAGAGGCCCAAGAATTTCACAGATCAAGCCTGAACTACATACTGTATATACATTCTCTTCATTGGAACATCTCTAAGATTTCTGCACTGGAGACTTCAAATGAGTTAAGTATTTCTGAAAACTAGGAGATAAAATTCTTGGATAAGCATGTGTTAAAATAGAATAAACAATAGAAATATATTTGCTGTTTTGAAGAATTTGTTAAAATGTAGTTATCACTTCCTGGGTGGAACAATGAAAACAAAACAAAACAAAACAAAAAAAACCCAGCATACGTTTGAAGTTTGGTAGGAGACAGCTTCAGAACTTTCGCAATTATCTGCATTGCTTATTCTCAAATGAGGAGGATATTGTTATACATTGAGTTGTATCGTATATTGAATATATTCTCCTATAGATAGAATGATGTAATCTTGACTAGGTTTTCAAATAATAAACCTATTTCTATCTAGGCTTAAAATTACATTAGTTGGCATCAATCATCACAGCAGCTTAATCTGCTGGCTTTTCTATAGCAGGTAAGCCTTTGACCTTCTTCTTATCTTCCATCCTTCTTCGGTTCTGTTGAGCGCTTTTTGCACCGAGTACAACTGCCACTGCTCTATCTTTAGCCCACTTCTTCAGGTAGCACCCAAGAATTTATTTTCAGCAGCCTTTATCACTTGATCATGAACTATTAAGATTTACTAGTCCAAACTGGGTTTTGCTTCAACACCAAGGTTTCCATCTCCATCTAATCTGATAGTAATCAGATACATTTCCTGCGTTTCCCCCCTCCACACAATTCTTTTTTTTCCAACCCTGTGTATGCGAGTTCACTACCCTTTTTCTGTGCCTTATGAAAATCTAAACTATCTTCTATTCCCCGCATCTTATCTACAACAGAACGTAAGTTTAGTACTGTTTAGGGTGTTTGGATAAATACATGAAGAATAAGCATGATGTGATGGTATACAGTGCATTATATAATGCACTGAAGAATCCAGAAACTTGGATAAACAGATGCCAATTAAATAATCAGCAAAACCGAACCACTGATAAATCATGATCCAGCTCCTAATTTGGAGTTGAGATGTTCTTGCAGTACTTTCTGGCAAGATATTTTCTAATAAATAAATGCTCCCTCACCCATATTATTTCTAAGGCCTACCTCTCTGACTTGAATTGAGTTGTATTACATTAGCAGATTTTTCTGCTATACTGTAATTCCAACGCAAAAGTAAAATACTACTTAATCTTTCGTTTTTATAATTTTACTCAAAATTATCAGTACGCTGATGACACCCAGCTGTACATCTCCACCCCAGGCCACCCCAACGATGCCCTTGAAGTGATGTCTCAGTGCCTGGAGGCTGTGCGGATCTGGATGGGGAGGAACAGGCTCAAGCTCAACCCTTCCAAGACTGAGTGGCTGTGGCTCCCGGCATCCCGATATAGTCAGTTGACTCCATCACTGACTATTGGGGGCGAGTCCTTGGCCCCCACAGAAAGGGCTCGCAATCTGGGAGTCCTCCTGGATATGCAGTTGTCCTTGGAGGAACATCTGACGGCTGTAACCAGGGGGACCTTTTATCAGGTTCACCTGATTCGCCAGTTGCGGCCCTTTCTTGATCGGGATTCCCTGTGCACAGTCACTCACGCCTCGTCACCTCTCGCCTTGACTACTGCAATGCTCTCTACATGGGGCTCCCCTTGAGGGGCACCCGGAGGCTCCAGCTGGTCCAGAACGCAGCAGCGCGGGTAGTGATGGGAGCAGCATGGCGCTCCCATGTAACACCGCTCCTGCGCGAG